CAGCTGTCTTGGGTCTTCTGCGCGCGGTACCATTTACCTTAGAGCCGCTCATCGAATATGCGCATGCAGTTGTTCTGCGAAGCGAATCGAAGAAGAAAAGCGCGATCGCTCCCCAAATTGCGCACTGAACAAAATAACACGTCATGTCCCAATTGATTTTAAACTCCCATCGCAGGTCAACCGAGCCCGCTTGTTGATCACCTGGTGCAATCGATTGGGCGTGGGGACAGAGTTTGGTGTGAATGAAACGCATGTACACCTTTGCTTGAATTCAGTACTAGTATGAGTTGTGTAACCAGATCCCTCTTTAGTTCGACTCCAGGAGATGAGTTTCAAGGGGATGCGATCAACTTTGAGTGCTGTCTCCAAGGATCCTTTGCCACAATCATGATCACATGTATGCAACTATATTGTTTTGGGTTTGGGTGTGTTCTATTTGTCTGGCCTAGGAAATGGTCCGGCATGGTTCTACTTTGAAGGGGCAGGCTAAGCAACTCCATGGTGTTGGCAGAGCTGGCCGCCATGCATCGAACATTCAAAGGGACATAATTAGAGCAATCCCGTGCAAGGCCAGGAAATATTCAAAGGGTTATGCGCTATATTAGTTCATGCGCCGTGCAAAAACTTCAACCGCTCCCGGAACCCCTATGCGCCCTGCAGGTGCCACAGGTGTTCATCCCAGTGCCCATGAAAAAATCACTGCACAGCACGGAGGTTGTGCAAAAGAACCTTGTACGCATGCAAGGCTGTGTATCATGATCGACTAGATGTGGCGACTTAAACTTGGTTCAACGTGGGCCTAGGATGTTGCCATGCATTCTTCCACACGAGCTTGTGCGAAGCTTGTACGACATGAACTTGTGGCCAACGCAAGTTGTGCCAAGCATGCAGGGCGCTATTTCCCAGTATTGGGACCATATGGTGAGTCATAGTAGTTGGGCTCGGGAACGCCCAGGGCACCACACGCATGAGCCAGTAGCGCTTTATGGGGATGACGCTGCTGTGAACAAGAATGGCGAAAAGATTTGCATCATCACTATGTCCCATGTCCTCGATCCACGCAAGAGCTCCATGCACACTTTGTGGCCTCTATGTGTGTACAAGGTCGTTACTCAATTGCAATATACTGGCTGACCACGGTCGGGTTCATGTGATTGGTGCATTGCTCATCCATTGAAGCCGAGGGTCTGTCAACCGGTTATAAAACCCTTCAAGCTGTCATGGGCCCCGCTGCTTGGTTGCACGCACACGCACACACCAGATTACGCGCACCCATGTGTCTTGATCATATTGTGATATCATGAGTGGCATTGATCGAATCAGTGCATGGATGCACTGAGATCATTGCATCGATGAACATGTTGTTCAACGGACTTCTGCCTACGGTTCCGCTCCAGCCCTATTTCCACGAGTTTGCTGAACGTGACGAACATATTCCTGGAACGTTCACTGCACCTACTGGTGTGGACAGGCTGCCAGTTTTGTGCACGTTGGCTGAAATTCGTGGCGATTGGAAATTCATCAGGGAACTGTTCAACATGCAGGTAGGTTGGAATTCAACCTTCCTGTGTCATCACTGCTTCGCCCGGAAAGATGACTACCTGGAGTTTCCCCCAAAGTTGGATCGACTGCCCCGGAGAGACTTTGACTCCTTCCTATCAACGACAAGGGTCATCAATGAACCGAGTGACCAGCCTGCATGCGTGCGATGTACATTCATGTATACGTATACATTGCACAAGTATGCGCAAGTGGCCTAAGGTGAAGTGTGCTCAGTGATTGGGTTCCATCACGATATGATTCGATGGTGCACTCTTCACACTCTTCACCTTGGAGTTGTGAACTGGGTAGTGGGCAGCGGGTTTCACATGTTGCTTGCCCAGGATTCGGTGTTCAAAAACACTGGATTTGAGCTAGACACTTTCCAAGCACACCTTTATAAACATCTAGATTTGAACTGGACGCAGGAAGATTTGTGGAGTGACGATGGTGCGGGGATTGAGAAGCGCCTCTTCCAAGCCTACCAACACTTCAATTCATGGACGAAGGCTCACCGCATTCAGCCACTTAGCACTACCTAGTACGTTCAAAGATTGAGCGCACCTAATCGTTCATTTGGTTGACCAATAAGGCATTCCCAACCTTGCTTCAACACCAAGTTCATCAGACCGGTGGACAACAACGCCCACATGGTGGCTGCCAAGGGATGGAACGTGCTTTCGCTGACTGTCATGATATCTGAATTTCTGATACTAGTCCCTAGCCTGTAAAGAAAATCCAAACCATTATGTCCTTGAGGCACGGGTGATTCTGGCTTGGATGTCTGAATTTGTGGTTTCCTATGTGAATGCCTCAGACCAGCGTGGAAGGGAATGGGCATTGCTGCAAGGTTTGGTGCACCTCAACTGCAAAATATCGATTGGCATCTGTTTTTGTCTAGTACAATTCAGGTCTAGGCCTAGGGAACTAGATGAGGCACCACCTGAACTTGGGCATGAAGACCATCGAGTCCTCTCCGCGATACTTGCAGCCAGAGCACGTGGCTGCGATCAAGTTCCACACAGCACCTTGGATCGAATCGCGATATCGATATATATCGATGGAATTTTGTTATAAGGATCGATATCGATGAGAGCCGGTTTATTTGAATAGATCGGTTGTGTGCATAGCCCGCAAGTTAGACTTAATTAGGCTTCGGCCAGCGTATGCTATGCAGAGTTGGCCACTTGGGCATGCGCCAATTCCTTGAGTCTGTTTCCTTTGCGACCAAAACTTCATGTGCCTCGACTGCAATTAGTCTTGGCCATCTTCTTAAGCGCACGGCATGTTTCTGAAATTGGATGAGAGCAGAATTGGAACACCTTGACCTTGAGGCCTGGATGGAACTGGCCCACTTTGCATCTGTGGAGTGTTTCTAGCTTAAAATCGTGGGTGCAGTTGGTTCAGTTTCATGATATTTGCATGTCTCTCAATGCACAATTAGGCTACAACCCGCGCTTCTATCATACATTCCGTGATGAAGACTTGAACGGAAAGCTGATCCGTTCTCTGGATGCATTTTTTTCATGCAAATCATTCAACGCAAACCAACTAGTGTTGCCCTGTGATTCAACCTGATGAGGAATAGCGAGGGCATCTCATGCCAGAACGATGGAGCGAACTCTGCTGATCAAATTCTACATGTGGGTCCATAGCAATGCCAGGACCCCGATCTGCCGAGCAGTTCGCTTGTTGTGTAAATGAGCTTTTGACAGGGGTCCTGCTTGGATCCATGGTGAACCATGTCAGGACTGGAGACGATGATGCTGACATCATCGGTACGTCATGAGCGATTTCTACTAATTCGCATAGCTTGGTTGTTTCCAACCTCGTCCCACCAGCGGCCAACTTGCAACCAGGGCACCCAGCGATGTGGATGGCAAAGTCGGGCTGCTGCTTGTGGGCTTGTATGTGTGTGGGGGACAGGAGGGGGGAAGGGCGTGATTTGGCGTGATTCGTTGACCCTAAATCTCAAACGCGTCTACAGATGGTCTTTAAGATTAAACGCTTCTGTGGATGATCCTGGAACCCAAACGCATAAATAGGATGTGTTTTGGATCCTTAGGGGAAGGTATGCTCGGTCGCTCTGAGTAAGACGTCTGACAGAGTAATGAGAACATGTTGTTGTGTTTTTATGGCAGGATACTATACAAATTGGATGATCACTTGGAGGAGTTTACTGTTGGGGGTTACAGGTTAAAGCCTCCTGGCATTGTTTGCAGCAGTTGTGCTTGTGAGGTGGTTGCCAAAAAATGTTGAGCACTTTAAACTTTATGGGCTGTTCTAGTTCATTGATTCATGTGGAAAGACAACAATCTCTGCAGACTTGGGATTGTAGGTGTTCTTTGGTCTTTGGGTTGTTAGACGGTTTAGCTGCAGGGCAATCAAAAATAATGCATAGTTGATGAAACGTCAAGAGACGGATGTGGCTGGAGCAGTGTACCATCGTGAAAAAAAATACCATTGGGTTTGTGACATTGTGCCGCTTGTGAAAGCCTCGCAGCTTTAGTCCAAATGCTGAGAATGAAAGTCCACAGGACATAGCAGCAACATTCCTGGAATTCTGGTGCGATGGGAGATCGAAAGAATCGAACATCAGACCCCACGAAAAAGCTCCAACAATCATGATTCAAAGGCACAAAGTTTTCCATGGTCTCCTATCTTTGTTTGGCACCACCAATAAGCTTTGAACTGTGTATCGCGGGTAAATAGCCGAGATCGGCCTGAGGACACGTTCAAGATCTATTGGATCAGGCTGGGAGTGTCCAATGCACACCCGGTCCTTATTGACCGCGCTTTGCAGCAACCGTCCCTGGGCGAGTTTTGTCACGTTGTCACGTCGGACAAAGATCCTGAGGTGTTGATTGTCCGTTGTCGTGTTGCTTTTGCCCTTGTTGTAGACGTCCGCGATGGCAGCCCACAACCAAATGCTTTGAATGGTAAGTCAGTGGGGTGTTCCCACCAAACTTTCTGAGATTTGGGGACCCCAAGTTTTTCATCACAGTTCGGAGCACTCAAATCAGCCAGTTTTCTTCACGTAATGCACTTGGTGCCCTGCAGTTTGTGTGTGTGCGCCACGTGTGCCACGGGTGTGCCACGTTGGATCTGGAAGGGTGTGCCACATGTTAAACACCGATGGTATTCGATCGAAGGACGATGACTCCATGAAAAACGTGAGGTCAATATGATACTCAATTGATTTGATGACAGTTGAGTGACATTTGAGTGACGAGGCCTTCTAGCATAAGTAGCATACCGTCAAGTTTAAGATGTGTGTGTTCTCTCTTATTCTTTTGCCATTTGTCTGAGGTGCAGCTCAGCATGACAGAGTATTGTTATTGTTCTCCCTTTGCTTCGGCCCGTGAACTAGGTTGCGACATACAGTAGGACTTGTTGAGACGTGCAACAAGTGGCAAGTCGATGAATCACACAAACAGAGCATCTGAAACATGGGTTCAACCATGTCTGCAGAGTTATCACGGGCATCGAAACCATATCGAAACCCTGCAACGAACGCGGATTCGCCGCCGCGCCACGCGGATTCACCGCTGCGGAAGGTCACACCACTCCGAGCGGCGGTGCCCCCACGCTTCTGCATTCCTCTCGCCCGAAGAAGGGCTCCGGCTGAGCCCAAAGATGGCGCGGCCAAAAGACTGAGCGAACCGAACGAAGCGTGGAGCCATTTTTTTCGGCGGAACCACGGCTTAGGGAAGCATTGGAGAGCAACTGTTTGCTGAAGGTTTGCTGTTCATCATTGACTTGCAGAGGGCGAAGCATGCGGCATGCATATATCCGCCAATGTGTGGGCCTACGCCCACTGCGTGTCACACCCCGATTTTCGATCTCCATCCCTCTCACCGGGGGCGCAAAGTTGCCCCTTGGAAGTCCTTCTGCGGCAAAGGACCGCTGGCGGTTCTGAAGCGAGTGCAGAAGACGCGAGTCGAACAGCCGTGGTCGGAGCGTTCTTCGGAGACTGGACCTCCGAGGCGCGTGCCATCGGTGCCCGCGGCGGGGAAGACCGACCGCTCGTGTGGCATCCAGGAAGGTACCGAACCACCACCGTGTTGGTGGAACACATCACCGGTACCGGAGGAGGTTTTTTGTGAACATTGGAGTGTATGTTTGTTCATGTTGACATTCCAAGGACTGCTTGGTCTTGACATGTCTTGACCCATTCTTCCATGCATTTAGATGGCCATCTCCATCAGACGACCAGATGACACGGACGAAAGCGTGATCGGTCCTTCAGTCCGATGCGTGACTGGACAACTTGAGACGTCGCGTGTGGTTTCCTGCGACGTACCACGACACACGACACACCACGACTCACCCGTGCGGCCTACCGCCGCGGCGATCTGCGCAGGCCTACCGCGCGCGGAGAGCACAGGCTTCAGCTGCAGCGGCGCCGGTGATTTCAGCACTCAAGACTGGAGGTTTTCAGCGACACCATGTAAACTTTCATTGGGATGACCGACACAAGCATGTTCAAAGGGATCCTCACATGGAAAGAACATGTTCAGCGCATATAGCAGCTTTCTCGGGATGCTGAGAGGGATTGTCTGGTCGCATTGAGTGGGCAGAAAAGGCGTGCGGGGCTCGCGATCGGGAGAGAGGCTGGAAGCTAACAATTGAGTATCGCACCGCCCCATCCCGAGCTCCACATGAAGTGCCATATGCCAACACAGTGGACAACGTGTTAGAATTAGAAACAACCAGTTCATATGCCAGGTCAAAAAGACAAAGCACCTGTCCTATAAACCATTTATAGAAGCTAAAAGGTATAACTATAGCTAAACGACTCGTCCATAACCCCATGAGGTCTTGGAATTTTGCCACTTCGATTGTTCGGCGCAGGTGAAGGCCTGGGGCTTGCCCTGGAAAGTCTTCCTGCGGAAGCGCAACCGCAAGGACGACCGTGACGACCACGACGAGGTTCGAAGGAACTGTTGTGACTCCAAATGGACTTTTAAAGACCGTTTTGAGATCTTTTTGAGGTGCAAACATGTGATTTCTCACCTCTCACCATTGCTTTTTGCCCTAAGAATTGATGCAGCTCCAGGATCCAGCCTTCGCGCGGTATGCCATGCTCTCAAAAGCCGAGCCGTTTGCTGTGGGTGCTAAATTGAATAGCAGCATGTGCCATAGTGCCAATCTTGTGGCATACCATGCTGATAGCTGCAGGGACCTGCAGTAGAACATCATGTTCCGAAACCACTGACTGACAGAAGTTGAAGGCATCCGGTTTTGCTTCCAGTTACTCCACGGTCTTGAAGGCCTTGTGTGTTCCGATCGTCTAGGATGGTCTTTCCGGCCGATTCGATCGACCACACCGTGACGTGTAACACCCGTGGGACACCGACGGTGGGTTGTTTGAAGGTCCATGAGGCCAACAAGGAAGCCTCTGGCGTGTCTTTAGCCAAGCAACATGCCAGGCCGGGACCTGGTGTGTCTGTTGCGGTGTTCGGGAGTTGCATACCGTCTTTGGGGTGGCGCAACGCGACCCGTTCTGAGGGGTCGCCGGTTGTGTCCGGCCAAACCGTTGGGCGCTCCGGGCTCTTCTTCCAACCAAACCGAAACTCACGCTGGCCAGCAGCCGATGGGCGCCAAAAATGGTTTCGAAGGAGGTTCCTTGGGACAATTCCGCCACCACTTCAGCACTTGGAACCGAACGCCATCCGAACCGCCCTTGGTCCGGTCGTTTTGGACACATCCTGACATACCAACGCCACCCTCCGAGAGGTGTACAGTGGGGGTCATTTGGAACTTCACTCTGTAATTATGGATGTACCATGGCAATTAGCTCATCCAGGTCGTTGGGAGAAGTGAAGCAGGCCAGCTTGACTCAATATAAAGTAACAGCAGCTTGGGTCTGTCCTATTACCTGTAACAGACAGATTTTTGAAAAAGGCCTTTATTAATTATCATCATCATGATCATGATCATGATCATCATCATCATCATCATCCTCATCCACTGTTACAGGTATTGGGATAGACCCAAACAATGGCCTTTATGTAGTCCCTTATACTATTTCATGTTTATCCTTATTCCACACTCCTTGCCATGAGACCTCTATTCACCAAGTCATGTGGTCACGGAATTGTTGCAGCTTTTCTGGAGAGAACGAAGCATCCGTCATCCGGGCACGATCTCACAATGCCATGCTCCAGTCACGTCGTTCTCGTCGTCCCGCCAGACCGTTCGGTCGCACCGGTCGCCTTCGCCCGTCCTCGCCGTCGCGCCTGGCCGTGCGGCGGCGTCGACACCGGCAGGTTCTCACCCTACTACCTGCCAGCGCAGGTTCGACGTTCGGGTCCGAAAGGAAGGGACGAGTCCGTTCGCCGTAGATACGAGCTTGGACGAGCCTTGAACTAGAGCTTTCTAGAGGATTTAGGCAAAAAGGATACAGAATATGTTTCAATCAAAGGTGTCCAAATGCCAGTGTTCTGTTTATGTCTTTGGGAGCCTTTTGGAAGACCTGCAGTCTGTGGACCAGAGGCTGTCATCGTCGGCCATAAGCTTTGACGAAGCAGACTTGTTGCCACATCCAACCCAGAAACATCATGAGACATCCACACCAATGTGACGAAGGACTAAAACAAGTGCAGCATGGCCAATCCACGCCTGGTTCATCCTGAGACCTGAGATGCTCGTCCACGCTGCCGCGTGGACCCGGAACTCGCCCGAAGCCGCGCGGACCCGGTGCAGGGCTTCATGCACCCAGCAAGACAAGAGTTCATGGAGGGCTCAGTGGGTGGCGCTCAGTGGAGCGATCTGAGCCGGAAAGTCGGGGATCTGACCTACCCGGGAATTTCTTTTGAGACATGGGTAGTCATGTCAGGCACCTATGATCTATCAGAATGATTTTAGACAGAAATCATGGTGCTTGTTCAGAAGAGCTGGGCCACTTCAGCTTCTGTCTCAAGAGTTTTGAGGTAAAGCTCAACAGTGTTGGCTGTGATTTGATGCTCCAGGGCAGCGCAACTTTGTGGTCTCCCGCTCAAAGTTGAATTGGAAGGAAACGATCAGAAAAGATTCCTCTCCAAACCGGCCACACCGAGCTGAACATGTTTGATCTTCACACCAAAACTGGCCCACGCATCCTCCCACTGTTCGACGGACGACCGACGAGGTCCAGCCATCGCTGAACCTCTGGTGGCGCGACAGCCCCAGCCTGACCGCGGCCTTCCGCCGGCGGCTGGGCGAGGTGCCGGCGGGCGGAGCTTCCAATGTGAGAGTGACAGTGGTGTTTTAAGGTAGCAAGGCAGTGTGGCTTGGTCGAGCAGAGTGCATGTCAACTTTCACAGCAGGTGTGTTGATCAAAAGCTGGTCAGTGTGTTTTGCTTAAAGATAACAAAAGTCTAGACTCTAGACCCAGTATCTAGACCTTATTTTGCCTCCTTTTCGCTAAGAAACCCCTCCGAACCGCAGGCACCCTCATCCTGTTTTGCAGAGCTTTTCCAATCAACACCATATCAACACCACAAACCAGACGCTCCGGTGAGTTCTCACCCTCCTTTCGTCGCCCAACCGGGATTGGTGAGAAGCCCTCCACCGAGCGTGGCGGTCTCCGGAGGCCAAGTCCTTTGAGGCGGCGCACGCCGATCACCGGGAACCCATGGGTGTCACGGTACCAAAACGGGGTGGAAAGGGGAACCCAGACACTCCATGGAACTGCCATAAATGTGTATTTGATTGTATTTGCACATATATTTGCACTATCTTGGGGTGCTTTGAGGGGTGAATTTGTAGGCATACATATGGAGCGTTTGGAGAACGGGAAAAAGCGACGCGCAGGAAGGACGTGGGATCGGACCTACATCCGGACGGATGGTTTGGGTCCGGTCTGGTCAACGGTAGTGGTTCGAAAGAGACCATGTCGACCAATTCAAAAAAGATCGATGTTTTTGTGGTCAACGGTAGTGATGTGTTTTTCAACCATTCATCACAATGGTATTAGACTCCAGGGTGTTTTTGTTGAGGGATTCGATCTTGGTAGATCCGACCTCAATTTCAGATCCTCACGGGTTGATCATTTCACTGATGAAGCGATGGGGTGAATTCATGCAGACCCGAGATGTTTCTTCATGTTTCTTCGGTTGAAGCATATAGGAGTTTGCCACGAGGTCTGGGAAAAGAACCCTTTCGGAGGAAAAACCATTTGTTATCCAATGGTTCTTCTCAGTGACCGTTCTCCTGAATATCTCCTTCCTTTTTCAGTCACCGTCCGCCTTCGAAAAGGAGCCCTTAAAGGGTCGGTCATTTTGAAGCTGAAGATCCAAATGAACTGGTCACACCCCCACCACGACCCGTCTGGGACTGACTGCCGAGAAACGGCCAGGGGTGGTAAGTGTTGGGGGTCTATTTTGATCGGCAGTCCGCAGTCCCAGACAGGTCGTCTCTGGCTTTGGAGGGTCGATGCCGTCGAATGGTGGACTCGATGCCGTCGAGTCCGTCCTTGGAGTCCCAACGAGGGCGGAGTGTCCGCGCCAGAGCGCTGGCAAGAGCGACGGAAAGAGCGACGGAGTCGTTTGGGTGTTGGAGGATGCTTTGGATACGAAGAAAAGGGCTGGACAAGACTATAACTCTGTCTTGGTGGAACCCGAATCTGGGAATACGATGTTCTGACAACGAACTGATTCTATTTCGTTGCTGCATATGCCCTCTGAGGTTTCCGGTATGGACAGACCATGGGCGGCGGTGGCAAGGGCAACACGGCTGTGGCCAGCTCAGGGGGGCTTGAGAAAGGACCGATTTAGAGACTCCACATGCTTGGATAGACTGGGTTAGCCGTGTGTGATCTAAACCAGAAACGCGAAACGCAAAAGTTCACGAGCCCGCGCGGGAGTGACGGACAGCGATGGAGTGGTGACAAAGCTTTTGAACTCATTTTCATCAGTGAATGACCTGATATACAGCCAGTTGGATCAAGAAGACTCCATCCACCCACAATATAATATCTACAGGATGTGTTGCGCGGGAGTTGACATGGGAAGAAACCGGCAATGAAATGCCTGAATCTACCTGAGTCTTAGACTAGCTATCTTGGAGTACATGATGACTTTGCCTATATACGATTGGGTGCGAAAGACGTGGCTATGGCATGGCAGCGGGCTCCTTCCTTTCGACGTTCCTTGAGATCCTTTTTCCAGTCCCAAGAGGGTTACAGTTGGCATCCATGATTGACGGTGCTAGGTCCAAGAAACCAAAATGAGTCCGAGCAGGTTCCTGTTTCAGCAGGAGGTTCCTGAGGTATTCACACACACACCCCACTGAGGTGCACCGGCGTGAGAAGACCCATCGCTACCGCTTCCTTCGTCCTTTCTGAGTGCGTCCAGACTCGGCCGATGGAAGCCATGTATCACCGATTGAAGCCATGTATCACTTAAGGGATGGATGATGACGGATACGATGGGTATGGTTTCAAATAGCAAGCCTCCAGAGAAAAACACGATGCGACACCGGATGTGACGATGGACTCCGAATCCAAAAGAACGATCAAAAACGGTCTGAGATGGAACATGCCATTGGGACACGTGTTCTTTCTTCATTTGAAGAGCTCCACAAAGCAGCGGGGGGTATCTCCCGATCTCACCGCGCAGGTCCGTTCTTGAGAGCGAAAAGGATCGAAAAGGGTATCTCAGGGGAACGATGTAGCGAACGATGTAGCGAAGTGAATTGCTTGGGCCAGGTGCAAAACATCACTCACCAACTCACCACGAGGGTCAGTATATGACTCACAGACTGGAAGGGTGACACATACTGGAGGAATAGCTAGTAGTAACAAGTGCCACGCTACTAGGAACAAGTGCCTTACTAGTAGTAACTAGAAGCTATTAGAAACAAGTGCCTTGGAAGGGTTTCTGCAAAAGAACAATAATGGATCAGGTCTTGGACTGGACGCCGAACTCGGCGGTTGACCTGCAAAGTTCGGCCTCATGTTCTATCCAACCATCGGTTTCGGCCTTTCGGTGTTTGAGATAGTAAAGGCGTACCGTACTATATCCCTTGGCTTATTGTTTTAGACTTAAATGTTCACTGTTTTGCATGGTCAACCCCATCTCTCAGGGCAAGGACACTCATTTTTTGTACTATTCGGCCAGACCTTAGCTCGCTGGAGACTTCATGTACTTAGATGTCATGAAAGGTATAAGTCTTGTGTCGCCCGGTTCCCCAATCATGAACAGGTCGTTCACGACGCCGTCCTCGGTCGTTCGAGCCGTCCCTTCGTCCGTGCGCGATCGTTAGCGGCTCGAGCGGAGCCGCTCAGATCCTCCATTTTTCTGCCTCGCGCCACAAATGTCGCTGCCACCCATTACGCCGGAGTTGGCGGGGCAGATGGTCGACAAGGTGATTTCTGGGAAATGAAGGGAAAACAGAGTTGGACCAGGTTTCGAGCTAAATATGCCTTCAGGCCGTGTCATTTTTTCTTCATGACTATATGCAGGAGTTTCAGCAAGTGTTTTGCCACAACCCCAGCCTCACCCACTTAGGGGAAGCCGCAATTCTGGAGTGCCATTGCCTCAGGCCATTGCTGCCTTAGAAGATGCAGAGACCAAGAAGAAGGTCTGGCACAGATTACAGATCAGGTGGTCCAAAAGCGTTCCCGCAATCCATTGGCAAACTGAACACAGGCTACAGCATAATAATGCATAATACAACTTTCTAGGGCCTAGGATATAACTCCCAAAAGTTTCTGCACAGTCAGCCATATACACGACAAGAAACTGGCGAGGTTTAGGCTGCAGTTCAGCGGGTGAAGCACTGCAGAGACGGAAGACCGGCCAGCACAACGAGATGCCACGCATGGCATCCGGCAGCTGGTCGGCACATCGGAGCACAAGAGCAGCTTTAAGGGTTGGAAGCGAAACTGGAGGGTCAGACAAAGGCTTGAATTCGTGCGAGTAAGCGATCACAGTGTTTGTTGAGCTCAAGAGTTCAAGACCACCAGGTTTTGTAGGTCTGTGTTTTTCATCCGGATTCGGGTTAACATCACACAGACAAGAGTTTGTGTGGTTTTTGCCCTAGACTTTGTGGCTCGTGCTCTTCTTGGGGAGGTAGAGGACATCCTGACGAAGGCCAAAGAGGCAGCATCTCCATCGCTGCGTCGCGAGATGCGTCGCTGCGTGGCGGCCACGGCTTCGACTGGCTTCCAACGACCAAGCGATGGATGAGCCTGGGGTCGTTTTTCATGAATGTTCTCCTTTTGGAGATGAAGCGGAAAGATGCAGACATCCACTTCTACTTTAAAGAGATCAAAGCGGTTGGGCTTTGGATTTCAGGGATGTTGGGCCATGTCGGGATGCCTTCCAATTCAGGGGTTCCTTAGTTCTAAGAAACGTCAGCAGAACAGAGCTGAACCTAGGGCTCCCTCCTGCTTCTATGCAGGGCTACCCGCTCGAATAGTCCCAACACCATAGCGTTTCAGGTTTCAAACGGAGACGTTGGGTTCGCCTCAAACCCTTCGGTGTGACACGTTGAGAAGGCCTGGCTCGGTCGGTCGAACAACGCAGGCCGAACCGGAGGACCAAGTGAAGAGACAGACCTTGATGATGCAGGAGCCACCCAGTTGGTGGAGTGGAGTGCATGGTCCAGTCCAAGAAATCGGACGAGTGTCCACAACCACGTCTTGTTACGGCCTTGTTTGGAGTCTCCCATGGTCTCCCGGTGGTTTCCAAGGTGTGAAAACCCCCCGTCCGCCGAACCAAAGCTTAGCGAGGAGCTGTTGCCCTTGGCCAAGAGTGTGGTCGGTGACAGTTGGAAGGCATCGCTCCGTGTTGATGGACCTGGGGAGAAACGGAAAAGAGTCCAAAGTCCGGAACAAATTCCATAAGCCGTGGCAAGACTTGCATTCACTGTTCTTCTGTGTTTGGGTTTCCAGAAGATCCATACTTTGCTATGACATCAAACCCATGCATTTCAATGTTGTCCTGAGTTTTGGAGTCGCTTTGTCATTTTTTGTCGAGCTTTGATAGATTGAGAGCAATTTCAAGTCTTCAAGACTCTTCCAACATATCCAACTTGATCAACTACTCGCCGGAGCCCCCGGCCACGTGAAGCTCGACGAGTTGGACGACGGAATAGATGGTGGGGTCAGCAACATTCCAGGTCAATCAACCACCCCAGGTTTTGATGGGTTGTATGGATAGTCTGGGAAGCTCCGGAAAAGATCTATGATGATCTATGGTTAGCTCCAACCATAAATGCTGGACTGTTTGAAGTGACCCTTGCGAAAGATGGACGACTTGGTGGATTCCGGCCAAAGGCGGCCAACCAACGTCCCAGCTGGCCAAAATGTGTGTCCGCAGAGGGTCTTCAACAAGCTGTAGAGGTCAGGTAGCACTCCGCTTTTAGACACGTCACATGGAAGTCTGCAGCAGTCTGGCCGAGTGGTAGAGGTTGGAACTATGTGCACTGCCTCGTCCATCTGGCTGCCTCCAATCCATTCTCTTTGGCTGTCCAGGATTGGGGCGTCACGGAAGACAACGCCATGATGGTGATGATGCAGGCACAGGGCGGGCGACACCACGGACCAGTCGTTCTTGCAGATCCTTCCGGACGAACCTGGGAGCAAGACCATTTGCAATGAGGCATGTTGTATCCCCGACAGCAAGATGTTTCAATTGTTTGAAGTCCCGGTTCGTGGAGAAGTGTTGAATCACCGAAAAATCACAGACCTGCCGCACGACGACCTTTTTCGGGTTGAGCATTCGAAGGATAGGAAGCTGAGCGCCGTCCGAGCCCAGTTTGAACTTGCGGGTGCCGTCGGCATGAACTCGGACCTGTCGTCCTTGGTCGTCCACTATCCCAGACACGACCTGTCTGGGACTGCCAGGACGGACTGCCGATCAATTGAACCCCCCCGGCACCACCCCAACTGATCGGCAGTCCTATGGCAGTCCCAGACAGGTCGTGTCTAGGATATTAGTCAGTCTTGGCAGTGCCTTCGACTGTCACGGACAGGTCCCGAAACCAGATGTTTGAAAAGGGATCGGTCCCGGACTGGTTCTGGTTCTTCTTTCATCTTTTTTCCGTCTCGTGCTGCATGCCCTTCTTGGCTCCGTTCGTGGCGGACCTGTCGGGCCGGGCAGTTTCACCCCGAACAGGATCCTCCGGGGCATCCGACGGGGCATCAGGTGCAGATGATGGCCATGATGGACCCCGTTCTTCAGCCCAAAGCAGCGAAGGCACCGTAACAGACGCATTTGGAGACGCCTCCGCGACGGTGAGCAACATTTACTGGAGTCGGTGAATACCTAGCTCGAACAAGGTGTTGGTCCAATTGCCATATCAATCAATGTCTTAAAGTTAATGCCCATGTTGGAATTTCAGGGCGCAGCCGCTTTGGCAACGCTGCGCATGTCGGTCGACGTGCCTCTCTCCCTTTCCGGCAGGTGATGAGCTTCTTCCAAGGCCAGGTTGGTGCCTAAAGGTCCAACGGCCAGCCCGGAAGAAGCACGGGCATTGGAAAGAAACAAAAACCGAATTCCCCGCCAGGCCGATGGCAAAACAAAAGACCGACTGTAGCAAGCGTACTGCATTTGCACTTGCTTCTCCGCAGAGTGGAACTGCAGAGTTGGAGATTCCGCTGTGTGTGGGGTTCTCGTGTGGCATTGAAGTGGCTCCTGGAGAGTTTGTGTTTACCTTCGCATTGTTTGGGTCGTTTGGGTGAGAACGAAATCTCCGAGTCAGTGACCAGAACGGTCCTTCTTCAACGGAGTGATCCATGGGTGCTGCCGTTCGGGCTACAGAATTTGCATGCATTTGATCGATCATACAGCCCCAATGATGAGCATAACCGTATAGTGATACCATCTAGGTAGTGAATCCAATCTCCTGACCAAAAACGAGGAGACAGGAGAAAACGACGGCACGCAACCAGACAAAGCAAGACCAGAGAGGAAAACTGAGAGGAAGGGTCCAAGCTTTGAATGTTGATAGGGTGAGGGGGGGTTCCCCAACTTCTCAAGCACTCTCCAAGCTTTTGGGATGAAATCCGCTGAAGGGATTTCCGACTCCCCCAGCTCATGTGTACATCCCCCAAAAAGCCGCTTCTTCCAGGATCCATCCACAGTCGAACGACTGGCGGCTCGTCGAACGACTCGTTCGTTGAAAAGCAAAGCAGCTCCAGAGCCAGAAAGCACCTCAACAGCTCCACCTGAGACCACCACCTCCTTTTTCGATGCGCGCCAGCGCGAGTCTCCGGCGCAACAGCTACCGCGGCAGCGCGCTGCCCGTGACGCAGCAGCCGTCCGTGGCGTCGCTGCGGTCGCTGCCCTCGGAGAAGCCGGAAGGCCCTGACGACGACGCGGGAAGGAACGACGCGGGCGACCGGCGCATGTGGGTGGAAGAAGCAGCACCAGAAGCCACCTTCAAGAGAGGGTCCTTGCTCCTAGTAGCGTTCCTGCTCCTAGTAGTAAGGCCAGGAGCCCCTAGTAGCATCCTTGCTCCTAGTAGTACGGCCAGGAGCCACCTTGTCTCAAGAAAGGGTCCTGGGAGGGTCGATGTTCTTCTTCCCATCCAAGTGAGTGGTCGAAGAAACTTCTTCAATGCTGCTAGCACTTTTCTTGTGTCGTTGGAAGATGGGTTGTCAAGAAGAAAACCTGGATGGGTGAAAAACTGGCTATGGAGGTGTGCTTTGATAATGATATATCCTTCAATGTGCTGAGCCATACGGATCCGGAGGTGTGCAGTTTTGTTGTTCACCGATCACGCGCGATGCCGACTCCGACACCGTCCGATGCGAACGAAGACAGTCAGTAAGGGCCCCTGTGAGCGCTCCCCAAATGAACCTTTATCAACCTATATCCCAGACACTCCATGTATGCCATATATGCCTACATTGACCCCCAAAACCACCCCAATGTAGGCATATACAGCATACATGGACCAGTGTATGGGTATGATACATTATGATATCCTGTGATACCTGTTGACCGCCTTTCAAGTCCTTCATGGGCATTTGTGACATGTGTGGCGCAGCGGAATTCTCCTTTGCCGTCGAACTGGTCGAACTAAGTCCTGCCATCCCCCATTTGCCCAGTCGAGCACTAATGAAGCACAGGGTTCACCTGACGCCTAGTTCGAAAACCTGGGCCAGGCTGGGGGGACGGAAGAAGAGGTTTCTCCCCAAAAGTCATGGAGGAAAAACGCGTCGATCTGTGTCCAAAACTGGTCCAGGACGTCCACGTGTCGGTCTGATTCAGTGCCTCACATGGATTGAATGGCCCAAAAGTCGAGGAATTTCGATGCATTGAATCCTTTCGGATTGTCGGCCTGGCTCCAGTGATATGCTGGTGACCTTCGCAGCCAGGGAAAAAAAGAAACGGGAGAGGGGGGGGAGAGCGGTTTTGGTTCCAAGGGTGTATATTAGGTGTCTTGAAATAAAGAGACCTCCCAGTCTACCTCCTGGTTTGGGTAGACTGGAACATGTGCCATATGTTCTCACAGAATGTACATTGAAAGAAGGATCCAAGTCACAAGAATCACAAGAATCCGACAGGCTCATCTTTGAAGAATCTTGAGACGCTTGTGACTGAGAATGGCGTCTTGGAGTTTCCAGAGACAGACATGGAAGATGATGCATTGCAAGCTGCCGTGCAGACCATGAATCTTGGAGGGTGTTTTGAACGTGTCATTCAATGTTGCTCTTGATACTAGCCATTTGTGCTAACTAGGGTTCTTAGCCGGCTGGCCAATGAGACCCAAACAAATTAACAAACATAAACAGCCTGCAGAGGACCATGCTGTTCACTTTGCTCGATAGGTTTTGCACTCCCTGAGCTGAGTCCTACGGGGTGTTCAAGGAACCACCTCCAAACACCACGAGCGTCTCCACGCACCCTTCAATTCACCCCTGGAGCTTCCAGGGAATCTCTAGCCTCAACTTGCCTCATAGAATCTCTTGCCAAGAAAGGATGCTTTTGGGGTACATCCGGTCAAAAATGGAATCCGTTCTAGCAGTGTGATTTTTGGTGTGTGTGTGTGTTTTGCCTGCACTCTTTCAACATCAATTGGAAGAACAAAGAAAACGCTTCGAGATCGATCCCCATCGCCAGGAAGAGGCACAAGACCATCACCTTCGAAGATATTGCCCTGAGCGAAGGTGTGAAGCAAAGTGTTTCTTGGGCAAACAGAGCGGTGAGGAAGTTGAAGCTCATCCACCTCACCTTGAAGCTCATCCCCTTGATAAACTGAGGTCATTCTTTGTCAGCTCGGAAGACAAAAACGATTTGTCATCTCTTGAGTGCGCCGAACATCTCCACAGCTCATCCACCTCAGCCTGATCGGTTGAACAGGATTCACCTTCTGGCAGAACTCGACCTGTTGCCTGGGGCGAATTCGCCAAGTTTGCAGGCCTCGCGGCCTCCCCTTGTTTTGGCAAAACGCATGGATCTCGGGTTTTGGGCCCCATGTCTTTCCCAAGAACCCCGAGGAGTCTCCAGGATCCGGTCCTGAGGTGCGATCCCCAGGAGTCTCCAGGACACTCGTTCGACGAACAGATCACATGTGTACATGGTGTGGATGGCATAGTCCAAAGGAAGAGGACTTTCCGTGACAAACAGGGGGGCTGAGCTCCACTGCCATGTGAGTTGCTCGTCGGAGAGTGTTTGGTGAAGATGTGTTGATCGCGGTAACGTTTTGATCGCAAACCCTTCTCGGAGACGAAGCCTGGCTTCGTGATGATCGCTATGAGGTTTATCTAGACTATTTGAAGTGGGAGATCGACACGGAAAGCGCATTTCTGGAGCTTCCTCTGACCATTGTGGTCTTGATCTCCTTCGCTATGTTGGCTATGAATATTTTGCATCAGGAGCATCTGAATGCGAAAATTATAGGCGAAGAGTCTGTGATCAATATTAAAGGATTCAGATGTTTAGATCAGAGTGACGGATTCTGAATGCCAACGCGGCACCCGTTGGTTCTTTGTTTGTGACGCTTTCATCGAACAAGGGCGAATTTTCGCAGGAGCAGCTCTACACCATGGAGACGGCCATCGAGCGAGATATCATCGAGAATGCCAACTTCGCGTGGAGCGGCCACTTTGGGCACAAGGGAATTCTGCAGGCGACGGAAACCTCGGCGCGGGACAAACCTCCGCGTCTTTCAAGGGCGGACAGAAGAAGCTGGCCCATCCGGGTCGATTCGTGAAGCCTCGGCGTCGATTCCCAAGCGATGAACACATGCGGGAAAATAGCTGATTGGCTCCATGTGCCTTTGAAACGTTCTTCCATTTTTAACCCATCCGGCCTTTTGTGCCTTCTTTATGTGCAGCCCCTTTCTCACTGTTTGCAGGTGCACTCCATCGCCGATTTTTGGTCCTGGATGCGCTTGGGCTTTTTGGGCCTGGTGGTGAAGCCAGGGTGGTTGTACAGCGAACCAGCGCCAGACATCTTGGGGGGGGCCCGACATGACGTCGCGCCCGGACATGCCCACGGCCTGGCTCTTCAATGGCTATGAACGACCTGCACCCGTGGCCAACGATGCTCGAAGAGAGATGTTGCCAGACACTCCATGTATGACCTATTTACCGACATGTGATATTGGGGTTGTTTCAGGTGTCAATGTAGGTACGGTTACACCATTCAACTATGTGGAGGCCGGGCCAGGGAAAGCCTTCTCCGATCCTTATTTCATCCGTATATTTTGGGGCGGCGGCCGGCTTAGTGAAGTTGAGGAATTATTCGACTTTCAGGTCCCTAAACGCAATTCTTTTAAAGTCTTCGACTCTCATCAACCGCGGCCCGGTCCGGCGCCTTCGGCACAGCGGCTGCCAGCCACTGAAGGGTGCCCGTGTTGTTGAGGACAGAGGTGCTATGTGGACAGCCTTGCAGCTGTCATCCATCCGGGTTGTCGGTAGTATGGGGTTCCACATACCTAGATCCTTTCGGCAGAATTCTTGCCTTTTTCGGGAAGAGCGGCTCTTCCCGTCCTGGGGCGGAAATCAATTTGTTGTCGCAGAAATGTGTTGGTTGCCGCAAATGTTCCCTTTCAGAAATCTAGTCAGACAAAGACATTGTTCTAGAGGAGCTGAATTTTTTCCTGTGGTCTACATTGGACATTTCTCATTGGAATGGTCCCTTAAGAAAACAAAGAATAGCGACACTTAAGTTGTCCACCTCCACCTGGAAATCTGGCTACCATCATATGTTTCTTGTGCGGAATGAGCACATACGGAGTAAAACCAGTCCAAAGTTGAAAACACCTGGCGCGAAAATGCCTGGGTAAAAAGGCAGAAATACCCGGGAAAATGTTGGAAATACGCGGACAAGGGCCGAAATACCCGGCAAAACGGCGGACATTTCCTAGCAGAAGGCATTATTCAAAAACAGTGCCTTTGAAGGGCTTGAACAAATGTTCCAGCCTCTTTGTGAATGTCAGGAGTTGAGAAGTGTCAACATCGTAGGATGTGAGATCTTGAGATGTGAAGCTATGTCCTTGCAGAATGATATGTGGTATGCAATCATGGAAGAGACAACCTGGTCTGTGTTAGGCAGTGGTGATGGTTTGTGAAAGGCTGTTGAAATTTGCTTGCGGCAAAAACTCCCTGCTGGCCGCGGAAATTCCTACCTGGCGCGGGCGAATCCTCCCGGGCAAATCGGACGGAGGCGGAAAATTTTGCCCCAGGCGCTTCTAGGTACAGGTCACTACTAAATACACGCATATATATAGTCACGTGCAGAAGTTTTGTCCGATGTTCGTGATTGCTTTTGTTGTCTGCAATCGCTTCCTGAACGCTTTGACTTTGACCATGTCTCATTGGAGAAACGCGCAGATCTGATTGCACGGCAGCCGCCTACACAAAAGTGAAGGGGAACTGCTGGAGCAGCCGACTACCAGCAGGTTTCGCATGGGCTGGGCCTTGGAGACCGAGCTTCAAATCCGAAAGGCTGATGATGCCGATGTTTTTTGCCACAAGATGTCTAGGTCGTGGGCGCAGCTCTGCTTGAAGGGTTTGAAAGCTTAGGAGATCAAGCACCCTTGCATGGAAGCGTGCGTGGTCAGCAAGGATGATGAAGAGGCTACAAGACAAATTTCTCACGTAATTTTGAGCAGATCTGCGATATCCTCCTGCAATATACCAGCAGGTGATTTTGTTTTTTTGAGGAGCTTCTACTTCCAGGCACCACAGCCGCCGCCGGTTGTAAGTGACTGAGGCCTTGTACTTGTGACCTTTCGTCAGCAGTGCTTGGGGGGCTGTTGCAAAGACTTGCACCAGCGCAGAGGCTTTGCAAAAGTGCGTGGAGATATGTACCGGCCAGGTCAGACTGAGGGCTGCAGAATTAGCGCAGTCAAGGAGCCGGGAAAGTGCGGAGGAAGGGAAGCAGTAGCTTCGCGCAGCGCTGGGGTGAGGTGCAACTTGGCTGATTTCTTCTCTTTGAAGATGATCGCAGGCTTTGGTCAAATTCCATCAAAAGCCGGCGGAGTCAACTGCTGTCTTCATTCAACAAAGTTTGCACCACCATAGGAGTGAGCGAGTGAAGATGGCAGTTGCCCACGGGGTTGAGTGCAGTGCTGAAGACATGCACCACGGATCGTGAACTGTAAGCAACAGCAGTTGAAATGAAAGCTTCTTATTTTCATTTTTTCACGCTAGACTGGACTCGACCAAAAACAAATTGACCGGCTGCAAGAAATCACCTTTAGCTTCATCCGTAGTGATGGATCTTGATGAGTAAAACGGACCCCCCCCTCCCCCTAAACAAATTGGATGCCCAACAACGACCTACCACCAAATCAAATCTGGGTTCCTGGGAGGATTCCTTTTGCAATTGATTGTGGTATTCATTTTCTTTCCTCGGGTTCTTAGTAATTAGATATTCTGAGCTATCCTTTTCCGATGCAGCCTCAGATCTTCACCACATCTTCAGCTCTACCACCTTGAAAATGTGTTTAGGAGCAATCTTGACATAAAAGGATTGATTAAGGAATTGATGGCTTTGGGAAGGTGTGAGTGTTGAAGAGCTGAAGAAACCGATGACTACCAATAATACTCTCACCAAGCCAGCCATTGCCTTAGTAGTATTTTAGAAATGCTTGTATTTTCTTTCTGGTGAAAAAACTTTGCACAATTGAAAGCCCTTAAAGCAAATTTATGTCTCCAAAGGATTCAAGACCCTAATTATGCTTCAGTCAATAAATAATAGGGCCACAAAAATTAGCATCATAGAGAACCCTCAAAACAAAAATTGTGTCAAGAGGGCCTTATTACTAATCAGCATCCAACATGAAAGCCGTTCTGAACTTGGCCATCATATAGGAATGGTCGGGGTCCTCCACATAGGCGTCATAATTGTTGTTTTTTTATCCGTATATGCAGCAACTGTACATGTTATACCATACATGGAGAGTCTGGGCACGTTGATTTGAACATACTGAGGGACCCGCTTGCAAAAACGCAAACCCCCGAAGGCCCGAAGGCAGTGGTACATTTACATGCACATCATTATTCTGTAATTGATTGGCTTGAGAGCTACGAATCACTAGGGTGCCGATTCAGTGGCAAGTTGTCAGGAATGAGAATGACACATTGTCACTTGCGTCAAGTGTTCCAATTGTTCATCCAACTAACAATGAGTTTCAGATATTTTTGAAAGTCCTTCATGACACTCTTCTGACCTCATGTCATCATGATGTCACGATGTTTTAGGAGTATTTGCACTACGCCAAAGTCATCAGCGGAATACGGATGCGTCAATCCGTCTCCGGCGCCGGTGACTTCTGCGTTTTGCCTAGCCTACTCGACCCTGCGCTACTCAGCCAGTGGCTGGCGAAGCCTTGTTTTCCATCTGACCTAGGCGCCTTGCACCGCCCTCCTTGGACCCGGGTGTTGGTGAATTTGGTCTTTGGCCCACTTCAATGACATTTCAGAAATTTGGTGTTTTGTGACAGGTTGCTTCGAACTTTGCAGTATATAGGACACATACCCGGTATGGATGTGTACGAATTTTACGCCTGACCTCCCAGAAATTGAGATGGTTTGTTTCACCGCGAGGGACACCTCCAAGATTCGATGGTGTTTCGGCGGAGAACGGTTTTGAGAAAAACGGACACACAAAAACACATCCAGATCGTCGTCTCTGTGTGATTTGTTGTTCGATCTTATGGCCAACCAATCCTGTCGCATTGACGTTCTGACCCTGTCAGGGCTACTGTCGCCTGAAGTGCATGAGGCTGAAAATTTTTTGGGTCTTCAGCGTGAGGAGTTCCTTTTTCCAGATCTATTTACCATTCAGGACAGACGGGAGGGCTTGTCCGGAGGACTCGATATGGAACACCCGACGCCTTCCGGCCTTCCAGGTTCCGCCTTTTCCCTCGGCGCGCACTGGATTCGTTATATAAGACGGTCACCACAGGTTTCTCGAGGTGTTTTAGTGGACGTCGTGTTTGTCAACAAAGATCTTTCCTGGTGTTGCATGTTTGTCGAACCCCTTTTCCCTGGTCGCAGAAGCGCTGCGCAAGTTTTGGCGTAAGCCCGACGTTCACACTTTATGTCATAGCGAGGCCGCGTATGCAAAACCTCCAGTCTGTGGCGGACGGTTTCCCAGACAGTGGTGTAAGCGACCCCATCGGCCTAAGCTAGAACTACAGCCAAGTAAGCGTCACGTAAGCATCGCGTAAACCATGAGTTATCATACAATAACAGGATTGCAATCTAATTAAAATATTCAAAAACGTTCTGGTGACCTTTTGATCACTTGGTTTGGTTATTTTGACCTCATGCAGCACATTGACAATGTGTATCCTAGAGGTCGGATGGTAAGAATCTAGATCCTCAACAGGAACAGGCGAATGCACGCCTGACTTGCACGGTGTTTTTTCAGAGCTCCCATCAATGGTGTCCCTCATCAGAGAGGTTAGGTGGTGATAGGTTGATCCGAAAGCGATCAACAAACTTAGAGTTTGGATGTTTGCTTGAAAGAACAAGGTAACACGAACACCTTGTTCTTGATCGTTTTTGAGCAACGGCTCCTCCACTTTGCAGTTTCCTTCAGTGTCCACCTCTAGGAGCTCACGCAGCAAGTCCTTGCCCCTTGGATCGGACGTGGGAGACAGACGTCAGACGTGGGAAACCCGTCCCGTGCAGCTTTCGACGGCTGCATCCATCTCCAGTCCAGTCCTCACGAGTGATGTCCAGTCCTCAGTGTGGTTTCTAAGTTCTAAGGCTGTGGAGATGCGTCCGGAAGGTTGCACATCCCAAGCCTCATGGTGGTTGACATGGGTTGACCATCAATCCATGTAAACCATGTACTCGAAGGGTGGTTGGGGACATTTCATTTGCAACTGCGGCCCTGATGTATGTTAGTCCAGATGGGAGATAGGGCTGAGGATGAGCGCGACATAGAGCGACCACATCTCCAGAAAAGTCTTGGATGAGGATCTCCAGTATCGCAAGATCAGTTTCAATCCATTTTGGCCGCGTTCACGCTCCAGCTGCGTCCCGCTGAGGACATGGAAGATGGCTGTGCTTACTCCAATGCGACCGGCAACGCCTGTCGTTGCGAATGGTGCAGCGCCGGCGCCCAGAGTTTGCGGCCCTGGATTGATGAAGAAACCTCGCGCGTGGAAATCAGTATGGTGGTCTACAATGCACAGTACGGATCCTACACCTATGTCTCAGTGTCTCATCCAAACGGGACGGACGGAGAAGTCACGGACGATCACGGACGGAGAAGTCATGGACTTGGAGAAAGTACGGACCTGGCCAAACACAGATAAACACAGGTGAGGTGTTTTTGTCCGATTTCTTCCACCGCCCACGTGGTGTAGGGATTTTCGTGGTGCTCCTTTTGGCATTCATATGCTCGGCTAGGCAGGCAGATGCTCAGTGTGTTTGTGTGATTCTTGCATCGGCGTGAGGTGAACTTTATGTTCAATCGCGGAGGCCACATCCATTCGTTTCTTCGCTGCGTTTGAGAAGTGCGTGCTTCCCGACTCTGTCATGACTGTCGAGTGGAGTGATGGAGCTAACCCTACTCCGAGTTCGGAACAGGATGAGTCCGCTCCAGTGAATCACGTCCATCCATTCCCAGCACGATTCGGGCCGGAAACAACGCATGTTTCCGGCAGAAGACAAGTATTCCCAAGTTGTGTTGGGGCTGCAGTTAAACTCCCTGAAACAATGGTTACGTGGAAAGCAACCGGTTTGGAATTTGGATTTTGTGGGTATCCCAAAACGGGGACATGCCATCCACTTCCATGATGATTCCACTGGAAGTCTCGTATCGAGAACTTGGATTCTTGAGTTTGTTCAAGAAGTGACGCTGGTTTGAGTTGGCGCCATGCGCTGGCCATGCACGTGGACTCTTTGGGACAGAGTGCTGTTCTTGTGCTTCGCTTGTTCATGTTTGTAGTTTGTTTTTCTCTGGATGTTCCTCTACTGGCTGCTGATTTCTGCTTCTCTCACCTCCCTTTATGTCAGCTTATTTTCACACGAAGGCACATACCGTACTCATTGTTTGTATCTTATAGGAAAACACTTTGTGATGTGATGCTTCCGCTGCTGAGCTGCAAGTTGCCTTCGTTGTCTTCCTTCTCGAGCGAGGAGTGACCTTCGAATGCATGACTAGACCCGACCTGCTTCGCTCGCTGATCGACCCAGCGGATCGCGGATTGCGGATTGGGTACGACCCGGCACGTGAGGTTTATCCATTGTTTGTCGGCCTTCGTGGATCCCTTCTTACGCCCCGGCCCGGAGTGACCTGGTGTGATGTCGAAAGCAGGGGAGAGGTATGGCTTGAATCAGACAAGACCTCCAAGATCCTTTCAGAAAGATTTGAATTTTCGTGGACAGACGGGAGCTCGGGCTGGGCTCAGACGCTGACCCAGGGAGTCTGGTGGCACCTCAAACAACCTGTGGTGGTTTAATATGTTTTAACATGCGCAATCATAGCATGTCTTCTCCAAGAAGCCAGGAGCATCAACCAAAAACAGCAGGTTTTCTAGCATTCTTTGGGAAGCCACTCCAGGAGATAAGCCAGCCTCTTCTGTCTTTCGAAGCCAATCAAGCACCAGTCCAATCCGGTCCTAGATACGTCTGATACACAATCATTTGTCGCAAAGGTCCAAAAATGGGTCACGTTTGTGCGAAAAAAGAGGATCCCGATATCCCATGTGGTCTGAACCCTGCGCCGAGCATGACTCCAATTAGAACAAGCAAGAGAAGAACCAACATGGTTGTACTGACTGTACAATCAACAGATCCGTCCCTTCCTGTCCCTACCCCAGAAGCAAATCCTCAAGAGAATCAACGTGGCGACGTTTTTCAGCCCACAAGGGACACAGATTGTACCAAAACCAAAAACTCTTACCCTCCATCCATCCAACAAACAGTGAAATATGGCCCCTTGGAAGACCGTTTTCCTCAACGAACAGGCTACATTCCACTTCCATGATCGTTTCAGGGAGGGTATATATAATATACTAATATATGTTATATGTGTGTTTGGCATCTTCAAAAACACACCCCCAACGTCGACCTATTGGCACCCAAGCAAGTCCTCCAGTCCACCTCCATAAGACTCGGTCAGGTTGGCCTTGACCCTGGTGGCTGCTACGCTCTGGATCGGTGCCTTGCTCTATGCCCTGGCGGCAGAGCTCACCGAGATCCGGGGGGCCATCCGGAATTCCAACGCCGGGCTTCGGAAAGCCCTCTGGGAGGAGCACGATGTGTGGGTGTGGTTCTTTTTTGCCGTGAACTCGACTTCATTCGATGTTTCTTTTTGCCAAACGTGCCACACTGGGAGGACTACGTGGGCTTTTACAACATGGTCGACTGGTCCTCCATCATTGTGGGCTCCTTAGCCATTGGCTACTACTTCCAGAGTCGCATCGCGGCGAGTGCGGTGAACGAGCTGCTGCCCTCCATGATTGACGCGAGTTTGAAGCCGGACGCCAACTACCAGTCCACGGTGAAGGAGTTCTTCCGAGCGGCCGAGGACATGAGCAAGGCGTCCCACGGGGTGGAGCAGGGAGGGAGGAGATGGAAGGAGTGCTCAAAAAAATGCATCTGAGTCACAGCATTTTGGAAACCGCATGTTCCATGAGCATTCCACCAAAGCATGAGTCCCACTGATGTTCCTCCCCGCAGACGTCTTGAGCTCCGACCTTGCGTGTTGAAACCGCGTGCGAGCGCGGTGCGTTTTTCATGTGCGAACTACACCTTTGTTCTTGAGGAATCCACGGATTCCAGGTCTGTCACTGTGCAACAGTGGCAGCGGAGCCACGTGAGTTCCGTTGCAGATGCCCCAGGACCCTTGGTTGAGGACCGATCCCTGGCTGCATTACACTGGAGCTGCGAGGACCCCTACCTCACCATGTGCTGGTGATGCTTCGACCCGGATGTCGTGTTTCCCAGGACAGGGTTCTGGTGCTGGACCTGCAACACAGCCTGAGGGGCCAGGAGCTACTTCCTCAGGAATGCCTGGGTCACCCCCTCATGCTGTTGGGAATTTCGCTACCACATCAACTCCGGTAGCAGCACCTTGGATGAGCCCGAACCTCACTCCGCAAAGCGCTCAGATGACAGGCCATCCTGGACTGTTTAGTCAGCCTTGTAGTTTTTATCCAACTCCCCAAGGGAATCAGTCGGGCATGCATAGTGGTGGAACCCCTTCTCCCCCTTCAAGAGGGTTCGGGAACTTGGCTCCACCTGCACCGAGCAACGGTGCCTGTGCTTCAGCGCCTGGACCTTGCAGCGCGGCTAGCTGGTGTCAGCAACTGGATGCGTCAGCACTGCCTCCTGCCGCCGCGCCGGTGCAGAGCGCCTTTGAGATGCTTGGCAAACCGGTGCAATCAGTGCCTGCGAGTTCTGCAGATCCTCAGGAGGTCATGCTCAAGGCCCTCACTGCTGCCCTCTCAGGTGATCGCAAGAGTCTGCCAAGCTGGAACGGTGATGTTTCGACCCTCCGACCATGGCTTCGCCAGTTGACGCTTTGGGAGATGGACAACAACCTCCCGAAGCAGAAATGGGGGTTGAAGCTCCTTCAGGCCTTCTCGGACCAGTCACCTCCGAGAAGGATTGCAGAGACGGTGGACCTTCCCACACTGACTTCCGAAGCTGGATACTCGGCCATCCTAACGGCCATCATGACCAAGTACGGTCCCTACCTGGAAGCTGCTGGACCGGCCGCCATCGAGACCTTTTTCTATGGGACCGAACGCAGTCGGTCAGAAAATCTCTCAAGCTATGTGGCTGCCAAGGAGGTCGCTCTACAGGAGATGGAGGCGCACCTTGGAGAGAAGCTGCCTGGGCGGATCGCAGGGCGTATCCTTTTGCGCCATGCGAATCTGTCTGACGCCCAACGTGAGGCTATGGCTGTGAAGTACAATGCCCTCTTGACCTTCGAGCAAGCAGCAGCCGCCTTGAGGCCGTTGGATCGGCCGGATGCCTTAGTTCAGAAAGTTGCCAAGACCTTCGCAACTTCGAGTGGCCACCATGACTATGAGGAGGATGAGGACGACGAGCTTGTGCCTGATGAGGTGCAGGCTGAAGAGGATGATGAAGAAGGCCCTGAAAGCGATGGTCAAGGCAACCTCACCTTTCTGTGTTTCGACCCGGCCGAGGAGTACACGGAGGAGGAAGCCACCTACATATGGGCCTACAACAGTGCCTACAAAGATGTCCGACGAGAACTGCAAGCTAGGCGGAAAGGCCGCCAGTTCTTCAAGAAGGGCAATGGACCACCAGTTCAAAAGAAAGGCAAAACCAAGGGCCTACAGCGTAAAGGCCATGGAGGCAAAGGTCGTGGCCATAGCAGTTTTGGTCGTGGACGTGGTCACGGCCGTGGAACACCGGACGATCTTCTGGCTCGCACGAAGTGCTTTTCATGTGGTGGCCTTGGACATATGTCAAAGGATTGCCCTCAGCAAGAGCCACCCAGTCATTTTTTTGTGAGCCATGGAGGTCATGAGCAGCAGCGCATCTACGCCGTGAGCGTGAAGCCCTCAGTGCAGAAGCAGCTGGAAGTCTTTGCAGGTGTTCGCACCGAGAGCTTCGAAGGAGTTGTGGACACCGCAGCAGAGGAGGCGGTGATTGGCTCGACAGCAATGGACCGTTTGCGTGCTGCACTTGGCCAATTTGGCCTTAGGCCGGTTGAGGCCAGTGGAACCACGGCGACCTGCGCCGGCATCGGAGGCTCAGCGACCATCAAGGCCGTGTATGACATCCCCATTGGAGTTGCCAAGACCAATGGGCTGCTCCGGGTGACGGAGATAGAGGATGTTGGGGCTTTTCAGACCCCATTCTTGCTTCCCATCTCTTTCATTGAGCTGGTGGGAGGCGTCATCGACACCGGCAAGAACATGTTCATGTTGAAGGGTGGCAAGAAGACCACCATGCGGCGATTACCCTCTGGACATCGCACAATTTCTGCGCTGGAGTTCAATGGACGATGGAAACTTCCAGAGGGACTCGCCAAGGAGCTCACAATCTCTTCAGATGGAAATCCATTTTTGCTGCCACGGACTTCAGTTGGAGACAAGCTTCAGCAACGACCCGGAGTGGCAGTATGGTTGAAAAAGGACAGTGAGCTGATCTTTATGGGCTCCATGGATGCTCGCACAACCCTGGTCCATCCTTCTGAGATTCTCCCCAAGCACATGCTTTCGAATTTGGATCGGTCCCGGGTGACAAGTGCATACTTTTTGGACGACACCTCCATCAGCATCCATGATACATGGCATTTGCCCTCTTCACGCCAACTCCCTTTTTGGTCGGGTGATGTGTTTTTCGAGCTTTTGGACCCTTTTTCGCCCTCGACATCACCCTCGACGGTGTCTTCGGCTTGCGTCGTGCCCCGGCCTCAGGCTGCCTTTGCACCTTCGGCAGCCGCCAACCAGGTCAAGGACTCAAAGGGCAAAGCTTTGGCGTTGAAGAGTGCTTTGAAACCAGTTTGCAAGCAGAGTCAAGTGTCATGTGCACCTCCGACCATGTCCACAGAGCCGCAGAGTGTTTCTTTCTCTCCGTCAGCTTTGGCTCCTGGTTCAAGTCCGCCTCATCGTGTGCACCTCCCTGAGCATGCAGAGCAAGATCACCCAATGGTTGGTGCAAGCCGACAAGGAAGCACCACCAGCTTCCAAGAAGAAGACGCCCACAGTGAAGTTGCTCGCTGCCTGGAGGCGCATGGCTCAGCTGACGATCAACATGATCCTGACGACGATTCGCCAGTCGGCCACGGATTACCTGCTCAACAGGCATCGCTACGAGTTGGCCGAGCCAGTCAAGGAGAGTGCACAGAAGGCACCAAAGCAGATCGGGGACGGGCGCATCCGCCGCGGCATTGGTCAGCCGCTGCGACGCTCCACAGCCTGCAAGACATGGCATTGCGAGCCATCGGACTGTGCCCATCCAGAAGACCAGCTACGCCAACGAGGCTCAAAGAATTTCTACTGGTGGACATGCCTCGACTGCGGCAGCAGATGGGCTCGGGTGGAATGGGCAGCAGATGCAGCCGTCAACTCGGGGGCACAATCCTCAACAGATCCTCCAACAGCAGTGGAGTTGGTGACCAAGTCGCTGATGAGCTATCCGGCCAAGTTGCCACCTCCCAAGCATCGCTCGGACCTGCCGACGCTCACCATCACCGAGCTCTCACCGAGCACCGAGCCAATGGCAATCCAGGATGTCTCCAACCGGACCTCAGCACCGGTGACCCCCTCATGGTTGGCATCGCCCAGCGAAATGCCGGAAACTCCACCCGCAGCACCGCTGAAGACGAGTGGGCGCATGTCAAGCCGATCTCAGAGCGCCGACCGTCGTCGCGGCATGGCTTCAGGAGTTCGACCAGCCCAACACCGAGTGAAGCCAAGGGCCCACTTTCGGAACTCGACGGAGCAGTTCGAGATCCACTCATCGGGCGGAGAGTCGGTGCCAAGCGATCTTCAGATCGTCAGCCCATGAGGGAGCAAGCGAATGGCGCTCGGAGCACCACGACCACCACGAGCACTACGAGCGATGGCAAGTTCTTGCACGCATCGCCCACGTCATGCCCTACTCGATCCTCTTCACTGAGAACTTGCTCCAAGAGCGCTACGACTACTTGCTCAAAGAGCCCTATGGCAATGACCGCATTCCTGACGGTCTCAATCCTTTGCATGGTGCCTGAAGCCTCAGCCAAACTATCTTGGTTGGGTTCCCGACTGGAGGTCGGTGATCCTTCAGGAGATCCTTTTGCGAATTCATCTTCATCTTTGCCCTCATCGAAGATGGCATCCTTTCCCTTGAACGCCAGCCTTACTGAGCTTGGCCGAACTGATTTTGACATTGTCGGAGCGAAGATTTTGGGACGCCAGGAACGAAGTCAGGTGATCTTCCATGCCACCAAGTTCCTGGACCACGTTGGAGAGATATACAGTCCTCCTCGGGTGACGCCAGAAGCCCGTCGTCAAGGTCTTCGAGCTCGCTTGGCCTTGGATCTCACTACCGGTTGGAACTTTTCCCTGCCGGAGCACCGGAAGAAAGCCAAGGAGCTGATAAAGAAGTGGAGGCCAGCCGTCCTCATTCTGAGTCCACCATGCACTACCTACTCGCCTCTCCGCCGCCTTTCGAACTTCAAGCGCGACTACCAGACAGTCATGGCGGAAGAGAAGGAAGGCGATGTGCACATGGATTTCTCAGTTGAGCTGGCTGAGGACCAAATAGCTGAGGGACGAGGTTTTGTCATGGAACAACCTCTTCCAGCCACTTCATGGTCCCGACCTTCAGTGAAGCGGTTGATGGAACACCCTGACGTCCATCGCCTGGAGCTGGACCAATGCCGTTTTGGCCTTCGTGCATCCAAGGGCCCCTTCAAAGACATGCCGGTGAGAAAACCGACCGCCCTGGCCACCAATCTGGAAGGCCTGGCTGAGTTCGTGGAAAAGAAATGCTTGAAGCAGCATCAACATGGTATGCTCCTGGGTGGCTCAGCCAAAGAAGCAGCGGTCTACACTCCGTCCTTCGTGAAAGCATTGGTGGCGGGCATCAAAGCCGCACTTGGCATTGCTCCCACAAAGAAGACAACGGCAGAAACCCTTCAGTGGTTTCAGTGGGGACAGGCTATGGGCCATTTGGTCTATGACTATGCGCGGGAAACCGCGGCCCTTGACGACGAGGTTTCAGAGCTCTATGGCACGATCGACTATGTCCATGATGTCGAGACTGAAGAGACCTACGGCAAGTTCATTGGTTCACCTGGGCAACCCCCTCGCGGAGACCAATTTCCTGAGGGTTGCCCAGGTAAGAAAGTGACCGCCTGGGCACTGCAGAACGCTCAGGAGGCAAATCGACTGGGTTCGACACTACCGGAGGAGGAAGACAATTTCGATGCAGTTCAAGAGCTTCGTCAAAACATGCGACAACTTGATGACCAACCTCGCATTGCCGAAGCCCTAAAAAAGGTTGAGACATTCCAAAGCATGGATGACGGCAACTTCTCCCTACCTCCACATCTTCGACGAGAGGTACACAAGATCCACAGAAACTTGGGTCATCCCGCACTGGAAATCTTCGTGCGTGCTCTTCGCAACTCGGGCGCAAAGCAAGAAGTTCTGAGCTGGACAAAGCATCACTTTCGGTGTCCCACCTGTGATGCTCGACCACGGGTGTCACCACAGCGCCCGGGACATTTGCACCGAGCAATGGAGTTCAATTCAGTCATTGGGCTCGACCTTGTCTTCTTGGAGGCCTTTGGACAGCTCCACGTGATTCTCAACATGATTTGTTGGGGCACTAACTACCAGCAGGCTGCCCTGTGCCGCGACAAGTCGGCTGATGAGGTTCTCAATGTGTTCATGAATGAGTGGATCAAACACTACGGAGTGCCTTCACTCATCATAGTGGACAGAGGAAAGGAGTTCGAGAACCATCAATTCCAGGAGACGATCGGTGGACTTGGGGCAGCCATCCATTACACCGACGTGGAAAGTCCATGGCAAAACACTCGTACAGAAAAAGCCGGAGGAGTTCTAAAGGAGAAGATCATGGCCACCATCCACCAGACCACAGCGACCATTGATGAACTTCCACTCGTGCTGGCTGAAGTGGTGAGCAGTCGAAATCGCTACATGGACCGTTTTGGGTTCTCACCAATGCAAAGGGTCTTCGGCCGCTCACTACGGCTTCCGGCTTCCATCATGGCTACGGATGCCCTCGATCGAGAGCTTGTGGAAGCAGCTGCACCAGAACCGGTTCGCCGGTCATGGGAGATCCGGGAAGCCGCATCCCGTGAGTGGTTGAGGAGGCAGGATCAGGCTGCCATCCGGAGAGCCTCTCGAGCACAGAGCCGCACTGCAGATCGCAAACCACTTCCTCCTGGCACATGGGTCTATGTCTTCAGAGACTCGCCTAGCTACCATGGCTGGGTAGGACCTGGCGTGTTGATTGCACCCGATCTCAATGATCGAGCGGCCTGGGTGAGCATGCGCGGCCGGCTTTGGAAGACTTCTCGAGAACAGCTGAGGCCAGCAACTCCAGAAGAAGAGCTGGGCGCAGAACTTGTAGTGGAGCTCACCAAGGACATGCTCGACAAACTCCATCGAAAACCAGGTCACACCCAGATTGCCTACCAGGACATCACCCATGAGACCTTCCCGGAAGATGCCGATCTGGAGGACGTTCATCGTGTCCTGCGTGTGGAAGAGGAACGACGTGAAGTGGAAGACACTCCCATGGAACGAGAAACCACTGACAGCACTCATCAACCTATGGCTGAGGAGGAGGAGTTTGACTTGCTGTCGAATGACACCACCATGACTCCAGATGCTTCTCAAACACAGAGCAGGAGGGCAAGCATTCAGACCGACACTGCTGAAGAGAAAGAGGCACTCCCGCCAATTGAGGAGGAGAACGCCATGCAGACAGAGGATCTCGGTCTCAGCTCCAACCTTCCTGAACGACGACAAATTCAAGTTGATGAGGGCTCCCATGGTTCAATGCATGTTGGACCACCTGCTCCAGTACCAGATCGCTCGAGGTCACCCCCGTTGACACGACCTCGGCCAAACTCAATTGCAGAAGTTCCTGAGACACCACCACTGGGCTATGTGCCGCCTTCAAGAGCAGCTTCATCAACGGCACCAGCTATGCCGTATCCCTTTCAGCAGCAGGTTCCACCACTGCCGATACCGCCAGGCAATTCCTTCTACCTGGAGGTCATTGACTTTGATGGCGACGACATGCTTCGCCAGATGGGTTCGAAGTCTCCCTTCATCGGAGCCACTTGGCGCCGAGAACGAGGCCAACCTGAACCCGTCCTACAAGCACGGGCTCCCCGACAAAGCAAATCATTTGCTGCTTGGGAAGCCGAGGCAAGCTACTGTGACCAAGACCGCTGTATGTATGTGGTCAAGAAGGCAAAGTCAAGTTTCGGCCAGGTGGAATTCTCCAAGCTAGCTGAGGGTGAAAAGAAGAAGTTCAGGCAAAGCCGCTTGAAGGAGGTCAACAGCCTGATTCAAAACAAGGCAGTGAAGGTCCTCTCCCTGGAGGAAAGTTTGGCCTTTGAAGAGCAATTCCCTGAGCAGGTGATCAACTCCCGCTTTGTGGACCGCTACAAGCCGAAAGACGTTGGCCCTGACAAGATTGAGCTCTACAAAAAAAAGGCCATTGACGAAGGCATGTTGGAAGCAATTGCATTGGAGGAGGACCAGACAAACCCGAAGTCACGACTCTGCGTGATCGGTTGGGAGGACCCTCAGATCCACGAAGTGGAACGTTCTTCACCGACTCCTTTGTCGACCTCCCTGCATTGCTGCTTACAGCTAGCCGCCTCTCGCAAATGGCAGACAAGAGTTCGAGATGTCAAAACCGCCTTTCTTCAAGCCCTGCCAACAACTCGGAAGCGCAAGCTTGCAATTCGGCAACCACGCGATGAATCTCTGGAAGGATATGATCCTCGCCAACTGCTGCTTCTGTGCACCGAGGTCTATGGCTTGGTGAGCGGACCATCATGGTGGCGGCGAAGTTTGCTTAAGTTGGCCACTGAGGACTTAGGCTTTGAGGTGAACCCCTACGACAAGTGCGTGCTCACTTTGCCTTCTGCCGATCCGAGCAAGAAGCTGACTGAAGGCTTCCTCGTCATTGAGGTCGACGACATCGCTGAAGCTGGATCTGCGAGGCACCAAGAGTTGATGACTAAGATGGAAAGCATGCTCACGTTCGGGAAGGTGGACAACCTCCAAAGCAGCACTGGGTCAAATTATGCTGGACGACGACTCCGGCAAAGGCCCGACTTCTCCTTTGAGGCCGACATGGATGAGTTCATTTACACTCGCCTGCAGCCAATCGCCCTAGCTCGGCGCGTTCTGAAGAAGGACTCTGCGAAGGTCAAGCTGTCCGAGAACGAGAAAACGCAGCTGAGGGGATTGATTGCGAGTTTGAACTGGCTAGCTCGCGAGGGAAGACCTGATGTGGCAGCTGCAGCTTCGATACTGGCTTCAGCATTTCCAGAGCCTGCAGTGTCCCACATCCTGGCAGCAAATGCCATGGTCCGCCATGTGAAAACAAGCCCCATCAAGATGGTCATCCACAGCATCGAAGAGAAAGACTTGCGCAACATCCTTGTGGCTGACAGCAGTTTTGACACGAGCGGACGTGAACGCTCGCAGCATGGCTGGTTGCTTGGATTCACAAATCCTTGGTTGAACCAAGGACGAGAAGCTCCAGTGTCGCTCATGCAGTGGCGCTCCAAGCGACTGAGGAGGAAGGCCGCTTCAAGCCTGCTTTGCGAGGCAATCTCGCTCTCGGCTGCGACAGCCGCCCTTGAGCGGCAGGACGTGTTCATGGAGAGCATCCGCATGTCGCACTTCAAGCCAAGGGTGCGCCAGAAGTCAGAGGATGAAAAGCTGGCGGCAATGGGCAAAAGCACTGTCATTGCCAGCGAGTCAGCTTCGTTCTGCGACCCCAACTCCATAGTGGTCGTAGACGCAAAGTCCCTGTACGATGCCCTTTGCTCGGACCAGTGCTCCGGAGATGATGAGCGGTCAGCCTTGGAGATCGCAATCATCAAAGAGAGTTTGTCGATTGTGGGCGGGCGACCAAGATGGATCCCGCACAATTTCAATCCAGCTGACGCCCTGACCAAATTGGAAGGAGCGCATACTGGCCCTTTGATCGACCTCCTGAGAACTTCATCCATGAGGATTGAACAGGAGACCGAAGTCCTTCAGAGGGGAAAGCAAAGTGAGCATCGGATGAAGACTAGCTTTGGTGGACTTGAGTTTGGGGGGCTGAGTCACAGCATTTTGGAAACCGCATGTTCCATGAGCATTCCACCAAAGCATGAGTCCCACTGATGTTCCTCCCCGCAGACGTCTTGAGCTCCGACCTTGCGTGTTGAAACCGCGTGCGAGCGCGGTGCGTTTTTCATGTGCGAACTACACCTTTGTTCTTGAGGAATCCACGGATTCCAGGTCTGTCACTGTGCAACACATCTATGGAAGGACGAAGAAGAAGAAAAAAAAGAAGAGCAAACAATTAGCATGATGTTCAGTCCAGCAGCTTACCAAGAGGCCCTTTGTTACAAGCTGTAAAGTATCCTGAAGCTACTAGTAACAAGGGCATCGCTATTAGTAGCAAGAAGCTACTAGGGGCGCTCCTGGCCTTCCTACTAGCAAGGTGATCCCTACCAACCTGGCACGGCACCAGACCGTTCATCGTGTGAAAGAGCTAGCATGAGCAGCAGCTGTTCTCGTTCCGGAGGCCAAGAAGGACACGGAGCTGCAGTTGATGTTTTATCCGCTGATCATCATGATGAGGCCCAGATTCGATGTTGGAAAAGGCTCCTGCCGTTGTCATTTTTGGAGGGGTCCTGCCGTCAGCCACACCGGCATGTACTTGGGAAAAGCATGTCAATCAAAGATTCGGAGCATCAGAATCCATAGCTCGTTGGAGAAAAAGAAACTCGACATGAAAAGAAGATGTTCTAAGTATGATGGTTCCACAAAACATGTTTCTGTCTCTTTCTATAAAAGAAACCGCCCCACCCCCGAAATCAGAGAACGGCTCCAAACGACGTCGGAATCGGACGTCGCTCCGGGTCTCACAGGCTCTTCCGGTCCTTCGAAGCTCAGCCACGACTGGCGCTGGTGTCGGCCACCCTCAAAACGGCGGCCACGCGGTGTTTGAAACGGCGGGAAAAGCGAAGCGGCAGCAGAGTTTGAGGTGGCGGAGGGGCTAGACCTTCTAGGGATGTCTCATCTTGATTCTCTCTTTTTTGGACTGTGAAGAGTCACATCTTCGGAGAAATGCAATGGCATCGGGTGATTGCACGAAAACACGAAGAGATTGGATGTTGGACTGTTTGGAAGAACCTGTTTAGGCCCGGAGGTTCGTCAAAAACCGAGCTCTATGTATGGTTGCGAGAACATCACATCAACCATACGGGTTAAAATGGTTTATAAACCGTTTCCAAATTGTTCTTGGGAATGTGTGGAACATGCCATGGATACAAGCCTACCAATTGAATTGAGAACATGAATCGAAGATTATCAAAGTAATATGACCTTTGAATTCAGGGCCATATCTTTTGAAACACGTTGTTTCTCTAGAGGGGCTGCAGCCGGGGCCAGGGGCCAGCCGGTCGCGTGTTTGCCCTTCGGAGTCCTTTGCTTCCGAAGGCTCCAGATCTGGGACATTTCTTCATGATCTTCTTGCAGCTTGGCAGCAAGGGCGGTGGGGAAGTAGCCCTTCGGGTGTTTTGCTTCGAACAAAAATACAACATAGACTGACTTAACGACCGAATCCAAGCTACTCTTGGCACTTCGTATGCCCACACGAGTCTGACATGTCCATGTTGTGGTGTGCCAACGAACCTTGGACAATCCCCACATTTGCGAAGACACACCACAACCATTCACACCATCCGTAGGAGACACTCCTTCCTGCCGGTGAGGTGTGTCTATTTGTGCTTCGTGGTCAGTAGCCTCTTGTTCTTCGGACAGGATCTCGAGACTTGGCTCAGTCGATTGGAGGGTGTCCATCCGTTGGGCTCTTCAGCCTTCAGTCGAGGAATTTCACGAAGGATTGAACATGAAGCGTGGTACCTCCTTCCGCTCTCGGTACCTTCTCTTTTTCGGACAAGAGCACAGGCCACCCGGTGACTTCGCTGTGGACTTTTCGACGTCGGTGAAGGAAAAAAGCAAAAGCTCGCCCTAATTAAGGAGAGCTTCAGCACCATGGACCGAGCCCTTCATACCTCCTTCTTGGCCATGTTTGGGGATTGGGATTGGAATGCCATGACCGATGTGGGCTCCTCGACAGCTGCGCATACCGCGTTGTGGAGGTTGGGACTGCGCGTCGTTGGGGGTTGCTGTTCATGTTGTTCGTAGTAGTAGGGGGCAGGGGGTTGCTTCACCTTGTTCGCGATGTCAAGAATGTCGCTTTCCAACGCATGTGGGACTTGCACAACGAGGTCTCAAAATGGGTAAGTAAATTGCCTTTCATCCTGAACCCTTCTGCTGAAGGGGTCTGGTCGTAGCTTGTGATCTGAGATGTCAGGAACTGGGTCCATGCCTTCACCTGAGTAAAACTCATGGGTCAATTTCTCAACATCAATGATTCAAGAAGCTTTCACTTAATATATGATGTTTTTTATTCTAGGCTGATGGAGGGCACTTGCTTTGCAACAAGAAGGCACAAGGCAGTTGTTTGATGTGTGTCTGTTTGGACTCCCGATCATTTCGGTCTTGACTTTTGAAACTGTTGAGAGGAAGATCTAAAGGACCATATACACAATTTGGTGTATACACATGTATACACTGCGGTGCCAGATGTCTTGTATCAAAATCAAGAGTGGTTGAGGGACGGGTCCCTCTAGAGTCTTGGACAAGCCCAGTCTATCGGTGAAGCAAAGCATAGTCCACACTCGCTAGATACTTGGTGTTCTTTGCCCTGCTGGTTGCCAGCACACTAAGGCATGTTGAGAGCTGCTGTGTGGTTTTGGGTCTTTATGGTGATGATGGTGCTCTTCATGTTGAACATGCTGCTGGCAATCATTATGGATGCCTATCAGATGGAGAAGCTAAGTCAACGAAAAGAGGTTTTGCACATGTTTGACCGATGACAAAACAGGTGTTGGTGAATCTGACTCTCCAGTTTGACTTCTTTCAAGCTTTTGGCTGGCCATACGACATACCATTGTTTCGAGACAGAGCATGACATGATGAGCTGTCCGGGAAGATTGTTTTTAGTGTCATGGAGTTGTATGAAATGATCCTGCACCACCTCGAACCATTGCAAGTTATGGGAGCCCTGCACCTTCCTACTAATTGGTGCAAGATATCTTCTTTGAACAGTTGCAGCATAGCCTGCAGCGCCTGTTTGTGGACTACCCCACAGTCCCGCACTCATCGAACATCCAGCGCCCGTGTCCCCACCCGCGAGGGGGTCGAACGCGTTCGTCGAGCGTGGCGCTGAGGAAGTACAAAACGTCGGATGCCACGACCTTGTGGCAGCAAATCCTCGACATGATCGAGCGGAGACGTCAGTACATACGCGGCGAGCGCGTGCGCTTGACTGATGTTTGGAAGACCTTCAGGCGGGTTCAGAGCCGAAAGAGGAGAAGTGAGATATGAGGAATGGTATGTATGATGGATGGCAACCTCTAATTACAGGTTTGGTAGCCAGCATCTAGTTCCCAAATGTTCTAAAACCATCTAAAACCAACATGCTAACCTGAGTCAGGAGTTACAACAAAGGGTGCGAGAAGGGACACTTCAATAATTCAAAGACAACCCTTTTGAAGGACATGGATTTATTGGGGGGGTCTCAATGTTTCGTTTGGCCCACTAAACAAAACCCTTCTTTCAAGTCTATATATAGGTTTAGTTTGGGATCAGTGGTTCTCAATCAAGGTTCCTTTCATGATGTGTAGGGAGATACCTGGTTTGAGATACGAGAGACTGACGCAAAAATGGCGTCGACGCATCGACGTCTCGACGTTCGACCGCAGACGTCAATATGCTGGAAAAGAGAAAGCCATGCTCTCCAGCGAGACTTGGACCAGTCCCCGGGAGCTGTGGCAACTTGTATGGACCTGTCACATCCGGGGTTTCCCTTGGTTTGAGAAGTTCATGTTCAAAAATAGAATATATACATGTACATCAGGTCAATTTCACATGTCTGGTCTCCATGAACGTTTGAGAGATACAGAGAGTACATTCAAGATAAGAAGATCATGTTTGCTAGTTGAGTGGCTAGTTGCTTGGCACTTTGGACTGAACACCCTCTCGTTTTGCGGAAGTTTGCGCTGCATGCAGAGCTGTTTGTCGTCGGACCCACAGACACCGACAGCGTCGTTTTCCCAGGACCAGCTGCTCTCGGTGGAATATCTGGTGAACACCGTGACACGGATGCCCGAGCAGCAAGCCTTGAGGACCATGGTTCATTCCTTAAAGCGTGATGACATCCTCACCCACGGCCTCTTGGAGGACGAGAAAACGGTTTCGGTGTCTTTGGTGTGTGTGTGTGTGTGTTTCGTCAGTGTTTTCTTTTGGTGGGTTGGGGGAAATTGATCGACTCGATCGATTCCGGTGATTGTGTCAATCTCCATTTAGGGATGCGGAGCTTTCCTCCACAGCCCTCCAACGCGTCTTGTTGTGACAAAGCTCCGAGCCGAGCCGCGTTGGTCTAAAGCCGCACTGAGGCTTTATGACAGAAGAGCAGGTCAACAAACATGTGGAGAAGACCTTGGGCTCAATGGAGCTGAAGATCAAGGCCCATGGAACACGTGGAGAGCGACAAATCCAGGCTCCGAATGTAGTTTAGATGATCCCTACCCCCTTAGGTACCTAGGTACCCCCCTTGATAGGTAGGGATTTTAGATGTTTGTTCATGTTGTGCCACTGTTGGCACATGCTGTTCTTTTGTGCTGTTCAAACTTCGCAAAGATCGGGGGCTGTTCAAGAGCACAGCCTCCCCTCCGGGCCAGCCTGGCAGCGCAGGGTGCGGCCACGAAAGCGGGTACATGTAAACAGTCCGCAGTCTTCACTGCGGACTGTTTGGTCCGCATTGGGATCCTTGGCGGGCCCATCCTTGCCCTTAAGGTATTTGTTGGTTTCCTTTCTGGGATAGTCAGACTCTGGGATGTGAAGCAAAGAAATTTGGACCCTACTGTAAGCTTTGGTATAGGAAATCCTCCCATCGAAATCGTCTCCACTATCGTTGCCTCGAACGCTGAGTCCAGGCTCCAGGTCAACCAGGGAGACTGAAGCATGTTGCCTTGACACTGGAGCAACGGTGGGGCCCGGGTTCTTTTAGACTGCTCATTGTCATGCCGGAGCAATCATGCTTCCCTGAACAGTCTTGGATTGTTGTCATGTGGAACCCCTATTTTTCCGGACTTTTTTTCGTTCGCTTTTTTTTTCCCCTACTGCTTTTGCTGTTTGCTTTTGCTTCTGCTTTTGCTATTTGCTTCTGCTTTTGCTTTCTGCTTTTGGCCTTTCCTTCTGCATTTGCTTTCGCTTTTCTTTTGCTTTTTGCTTTTCCTTCTGCTTTTTCTTTTGCTTTTTGCTTCTGCTTTTGCTTTTGCTGACTATCTTCTTTGCATTGACACTGCCACAAAGTTGGATGATAAGACCTTCACCTTGAGCTTTGACACCCAATTACACCAATCAAGAAACGAAGCAGCCCAGCGCTGTCTATATTTGATTTGCATTCAGGGGGAGGCGCTGGGCCCTCCTCCGCCCCCCCTCCCGCTTTGTTTTAAAATAGTTGCCACTACCGTCCACCACCCCTACTATTTCCAATACCTCTATCACTTGGACCACCCCGCTACGAGTCTTACCACAGTTACCACAACTACTGTTTTCTTTGCATTGATGCTGCCACAAAGGTGGATTTCTACTTTGCTTAGCCCAAAGAACCCGAAACCACTGAAACCCAAAGACAACCGCAGAAAAGTCCCTATTATAGTTCCTCTCTCCTCCTACTTCTCCTTCGTTAAGTGGGATGCCTTTTCCGGAAGAACGCCTAAAGAAACCCTAAAGACAAGAAACCGAACCCAAAGAAACCCGAAACCAGTGAAGCTAAAGACAACCGCAAAGAAGTCCCTAGTAAGTGGAATACCTTTTCTATTCCCTCCCTTTGTCACTGTCACGCTGGCTTTGGTGCTTCGTCCCCTGCCGTTTCTGCTGCTCCTAGTGCTTGTAAAGCACTCCCAGCAGAAGCAAAAGCAAAAACAGTAGGGGAAAAAACGTGAAACAAAGTCCCGGAAAAAATGTGAAAAAAGAATCCGGAAAAATATGCATCCTTGTCATGTCCCAAGAGTTTTGCGGGCTTGCATGCTTGCACTTGTACCCTGAATCTCGATGACTCCCTTTTTGGCGTTGCAAGACATTCACGCCCCACGAGAGCACCCCACCGAAATCGCACTCTCGGTCCAATAATTCTGTTGAGCAAAAACCCTCCATTTGGATTGTGCAACCTCTTCTGATGGGTAGGTTGAAAAATGTTGAAATATCATCACATCAGTCTCCAGGCGATACTGGAGGATGTGGAGTTCATCAACGACAAACTGGACTTCTTCGACCGTTTGTTGGCGCCTGGAGACGCGGAATACGACTTCTACTTCGGCGCCGATGGGCAGTCGCACGACCAAGCGAGCAGGCCGCCGCCGAGTGGAGGGGTGGCGGTTTGGAAGTGACCGTTTCTGCGTGCGCTGTGAAGTCAACGGAGGGTGGTCAGTGGGTGTGAAGAGTTTTCCCGCAACCAACAGCTGTAACTACGACAGCTGTAACTGGTTGGTGGACATGGAGGAAACAAGAAACAGAAAAGGAACCCAAGTTTATACCTGTGGCACTCGGCAGTCTCCCAACAATGTAGATGAATAATGTACTGCATTATGATTGAAACAAGAAATGCTGTGCTACCTTGAACCGCTTTCAAGTAAAACTGCCAGGTAGTCTCACTTTTCTTTACCACCAGGGCATCACGGCGCACATGCACAACAAGAATTTGGTCCGAGAATGGGGACAAAAGCATCCAAAGACTGGAGATGTGACAATTGTGACATATCTGAGAGTTTGCAGAGGTCAGTCAAAATCTCGCAACGGCATCTCCATACATGTTGCCTGAGTTTAAAGGGTGACCTGGCTACTTGTAGTCAGTCTAAAACCGTAAAACAATTGTTCGGGATTGAGGCTAAATCATTGGGCCAGAGGCCGCCTGGGGATACATCAGGTCATCCGGTGTCCTTCTTCGCAGGTTGTGGATCTACAACTCCATCACCGCCTTCTCCGAGGAGTTGCAGCAGAACTTTGTGCGGGGCATCCAGCGCATCGGAACCTGGCAGGATGAGTTCGAATGCGAGCGCCCCGGTCAAAAGCCGGGGAGACACCCGAACTCTTGGGAGACGGCCGGAGCGAAACCATTTCTGCGTGAAAAGAGGCAAACTCTCGGAGTTTGTGCCCTTTTTTTTGGGGGGGGGGAGGAGACCTGGGGTAGTACCTCGACCGGGCGGGGAGATCGGTCACGTCCGCGCGAGTGCAGCGAGCCACATGAGTGTGGCACCTTTTTGGACCGCAAGGTTCATGTTCACCTTGTGCGAAAGAAGAACCGAGAGACGGAGGTTGAGGTTGGGCTCTCAAGGTGAGTGGAAAGATATCTCAGTTGCTTGAGGTGTTTTTCTCTCCCGAGGTCCAGGTCTTCAGACCTAAAGATCGCGAGAAGTGTCGATCTTGGCTGGGATTTGTAGAAAGGAAACATGGCAGACGAACATGTGGTGGCAGCTTGGCTGGCCATCCCAGCCCATCAGATTCTCTCCATCCTGAGTCCGATGCGAGAAATCGAGGCTTCGTATTGTGAGTGTGGCTGCTTTTCATTTGCAGAAGCCGATGGCTCCATGGACCTCTGGGTTTTTCATGGTGGCTCCAGCCTCTGAGGCAGACGGAGTTGGCGGATGGCTTGCGCGAGTTTGAGCAACTGCTGGCACAAAGCCTGGAAGCCTTGCAGGAGTTGCCTCTTGGGTCAGTCGGTCGGGTGCCGATGTGGCGGCATGTCAGGTGGGTGGGCATCGGGCATCAAAAAGGAAAAAACAGGTGCTTTACTAGTAGTAACAAAAAGCTACTAGTGCTAGTAGTCTCATAGGCCCGAGCATCGCTAGTAGTAACAAGTGCCTTACTAGTAGTAACAGGTACTTTACTTCGAGTGTTCCCCACCATGACATTTCAATCATTTGTCTTGATGCCATAGTGAGGAGCATGTTGCCATGGTCGTGAGTATTGTAGTTCTCGATTTTGCTTGTGGGTCCTCGGGTTGTGTGCTGTGGTTGTGTGCTGTGGTTGTGGTTGTGTGCTGTGTTGTGGTTGTGGTTGTGGTTGTGGTTGTGGTTGTGATTGTGTGTTTGTGGCTGTGTGTTTGTGGTTGTGTGTTTGTGGTTGTGTTTGTGGCTGTGTATTTGTGATTGTGTTTGTGGTTGTGTGTTTGTGACTGTGTTTGTGGTGGTATGATTTTGTTTGTGATTGTGGTTGTGGTTGTGTGCTGTGGTTGAAGTCCGGCAGGGAACACTTGGGCCTGGAGCTCGCGGTTGAGGTCCGGCAGGGAACACTGGGCGTGGATGGTCGCGGTTAAGGTCCGGTGGGGAACACTTGGGTCTGGAGCTTGCGGTTGAGGTCCGGCAGGGAACATTGGACGCGGATGGTCGTGGTCGAAGTCCGGCGGAGGAGGAGGAGGACGAGGCGGAGGAGATGGGGCTGACGTGAAATCTCACAACCCTCACCTGACAGGTGTGGAAGAAGGACTAGGTCCCCTGGTCCTTAGGTTCCCTGGTCCTTTGGTGCGCTGGTCCTTTGGTCCTCTGGTCCCGTGGTCCTTCGGTCTCCTGGTCCGCTGGTCTCTCGCTCTCCTACTCCGCCACTGCCGTCCACTACCCCTACTATTAAATTACCAGTGACTCTATCACTCCGACCACCCCACTACGTGTCTTACCACAGTTACCACAACTACTATCTTCTTTGCGTTGACGCTGCCACGAAGGTGGATGATAAGGCCCACCTTTGCCTAGCGTGACAGCCAGAAACCTTCGCTTAATAGGAAGCGCTGTGCCCTACGACAACGACGACGACGACGACGACGACGACGACTACTACTGTCCTTTTCTCATGCTAGTTTTCTTCGCTGTGAATATATGTGGATATCTTTTTTGAGCCTTTTTTTCTTTTGATCCCTCTTGAATATCTTGGAATGCTGATCTTTTTGATCCCTCACCCAGGTGGGACCTAGGAATTTCATATTTCGTCCATCCGTGGCCGCATGGTCACGAGTTCCAAAAGCGAAACGGTGAGGCCAAGACACAGCGTACAGGCGGTACAGGGGCCGTTGAATGAGTAATGAGACGTTGCCAATGGATGGACACACCATGAGATCTGACTATAGATTCATCTAGGCTTGGACATGAGGAATATTTCTCAAATGCCAGGATTCCCTAATTCATGGCCCCTCAGAGAGTTTGTTTTGGTGATTGGTGCTAGCATGCGCTGGCGCAACCTTATTCTGCTAGAAATCCACCTGAAAGCCGAGACTGGAGCACCAAGGTCAAATGTTGTGGAGGGCATGGACAAAGAAATCTGATGCCTGTTAGATGCTCGAACGAACCAACATGCCCATTCAAAACGGCAAGATCAGAGAGCAAAATGCTCCTGATGGAAATATGCCGAATAAAAAAAAAATATATATATATATGTATGTAATCGCTACTTAAAAAATATACCAGCATAGACCCCAAAGAGCTTAGTCGGCAAGAACTGTTGTTGTGGTGGGGTGCGGCCGCAGCCCCAGCCCCTGCCTTGGACAGCGACCTAAACAGTAGGACAACAGAGGACAAAAGGATGAGGGAATGAAAAAAGGACAAAAGAAGGCCAAGCTGTGACCGGACAACACCAAAAGGACAACAGGGCAAGGAAGAAGGACAACAAGAAGGCAATAGAAGAACTGTGGCCAGCAAGAAGAGGACAACAGGAGGACAAGGAGATGACATCGGCTTCTGGGGGGGCTTTCTGGAGTTGTCTTTCAAGAGGAGGACAAGAGGAGAGCAGGAGAAGGACAAGCTCCGGATCCAGCCTTCAGGGGCGCGGCCAAGGAGGACAAGGGAAGGAAAACAGGTGGACACGACGAGGACAAGAGAAGGACAAGACGTGGACAAGACGAGGACAAGAGGTGGACAAGACGAGGACAAGAAGTGGACAAGACGAGGACCGGATACAGAGCCCGGACATGGAGTTTAGGGCCACGGCCAGACAGTGTGGCCAGCTTATTTTTCCTAAGAGAGAACCCGAACCCCAATAGTAAATTTCTTGGTGAAATATATATATTAAAAATATTGTGTATTTTCAACATCATAGTATTATAATTATTCAATGTTGTATAGTTCAGTTGTTTTAAATATCGAATATTGTAATATGATTGTGATTGGATTATATATTCTTAAATAGAAAATTGATATTGATAAGGAATTTTATTTTATATATAAATAGGTTTTGAAAATATTGATTATTGATGGTTTAATTCATAAATTATTGTATATAAGATTTTTATTATTTATTAAAGACATTTTTTATAATTGAATTCGAATGAGAAATTTTTGAAAATATTTCAATCAAAATTTAAATTGAAAATTCGATTATTTCTATATGCTTTCTTTAATGATATTTATTTTTATGAATTTATGATTATTATATAGGGAAAATATTTATGATATAGATATAGATGGATTTTTAATATTTTTGATTAATGATTGATTGGTATATGAGATTTAACGATGATATTATATTATTTAATTAGAAAAATACGATAATTTTTTATGTTGAATTTTATGACGAATTATAATTTTTAAAATTTATAGATTACTACTAATATTACGGACTGGGGTGCGATCGAGCAAAAATACACGGATTTCTGAAGCAAAATGTTCGAAATAATCGGATTATTTCCTACATTTTCATCTTTTCATTTTTAGTCTTGGCTCACTCATAATTGGTCTACGGCTTCCGTCGCGGTCCGGAACCCCCCCAAATAATTGCATTATTTCATACATTTCGATTTTCAATTACAAGAAAAAATCCAATTATTTCATATATGTTGCTTTCGTCTTCCGGCATGTACCACTAAGCAATTCGGCTACGTTCCGACGCCGTCGGTCCCGGGTTCGAACCCCGCATGGTCCACCACAGACAGCCTTGACTCATCATGTCGAAATTGTTCGTAGCGACCGACCCTGGGTCCACATTTCTCACTTCGTTCCTACGTGCTCATCGAGCATTTCTTGGACGCGTGCGCCAGCGCTTTCCGCTGCAACGTTCGGACGCGTGCGCAAGGGAATAAGGCCTTACCATAATATTTTATTAAAAATAACTATACGCGTGAGCCCGTCGCAAGTTCAATACTTGTGTTTGATGCTTTGACAGAGTACACTTGTGGGGCATTGATAAAGCTTGAACATACATACACATATGTGCATTCTTCATTCTGGCTTGTTGTGACTGCGCCGGTCACTTGCTCCATGTTCTGAATGACCTTCTGCTCGAGTTGCCTTTTGCAACTTCAAAGAAAGGTCTTGGCATTGTTGGCAAATGCGAGACAGCATCATGCAAACTAGCAATATCAGACTATACGGTGCTCTTTGCAAGCATCATGGACATTGCACAATATTGTGTGTACATTGGAGACAGCTTCTTCCACAGAAGCATTATGAAAAGAAAGAAGTTTCTTTGCAAGCACGAATTGGGTTTTCTCAAAACTGATGGTGCCCTAATCAGCGCGATTTTCACTTCTTTAGCAGTCCTGCTGCTGCAGCCATTTTGCCACTTGCGTGTGGCCCGGCAGAGGCGCAGCTGCTTCCGGGGGTCACAATCTTGAAGTCATAAATAGCTGCAATGATGCTAGGCATGGTGTATATTCGCGATATCAATTTTGCTTTCCAAAATTCCCAAAGTAATGCAAACATTTTCGGTTCTCATGGTGTGGAATACCGGAGCTTTTTCTACCGATCGTTTGCGCTGCTTGTTGTTTGCCTTCCTGGTTTTTACCGTGGGTTTGTCCACGAGTTTTGCGGCCAGGTTGGAAGGCGAAGCTAAAGCCCAGGGAGATTGCTACCTTGCCCTTGCAGGAGGACCCAGCTGACAACATACGTTCCAATAGCTTATCACCTATATGCTACAGTCTACAGTATCATAATCTGTATCGTATACTTGTACACTATATTCAGGAATATGCTTTCGGCATGGTGCCTCAGACCTGTCGAACAAGGGAGCGAGCTTAGCGTAATTCTGGATGGATTTGGGCTGGACTCTGAATGGATTTAAGGGCTTACGCCTGACAGCCGGGAGCCTGGCAGCATCCTTCAATGTGGAAGGGGGCTTACCGCCCGAGTGTGTGTAAGATACACCTCAACTCGGGAGAGCCGTCTCTGTCTCTCTCTCTCTCTCTCTCTCGCTGTGTCGCGGTCTTGCTTTGTTTCTCTCCCGTTCTATGTTTGTTGCCTTCGCTTTCTGTGCCGGCCCAACACAGGGAGAAAGTCAGACGGTAGAGGGGATAGAGGCAAGAGACATGAGGCGACGGGGGCCGGGACTTCGGGCATCCTGGCAGCGTCCTTCAATGTGGAAGGGGGCTTACCGCCCGAGTGTGTGTAAGATACACCGCCGGTCGGGAGAGCCGTCTCTGTCTCTCTGTCTCTGACTCTCTCTCTCTGTGTCGCGGTCTTAATTTGTTTCTCTCCCGTTCTATGTCGGTTGTCTCTGCTTAGTCTCTCTATGTCCGTTTCGCTGTTTCTTTCCCTCTCTCTGTCTCTGTCTCTGTTTCTCTCTGTCCATTTCGCTGTTTCTTTCCCTCTCTCTGTCTTTGTCTCTGTCTCTTTCTTTGTGTCTGTCTCTCTCTCTCTCTCTGTCTGTCTGTCTGTCTCTTTGTCTGTCTGTCTCTCTGTCTCTGTCTCTCTGTTTGTCTCTCTATGTCTGTTTCTCTCTTTCTGCCTGTCTCTTTCTCTCTCTGTCTGTCCCTGTCTCTGTCCCTATCTCTGTCTGTCTCTCTCTCTCTCTCTCTCTCTCTGTCTCTCTGTGTTTTTCTCTGTCTCTTTCTGTCTCTCTCTGTCTCTCTTTGTCTCTCTCTGTCTCTCTCTGTATCTTTTTGTGTCTCTCTGTGTCTCTCTGTGTTTCTTTGTGTCTCTCTGTGTCTTTTCGTGTCTTTTTGTCTTTCTGTATCTTTGGTTTTGTATATTTTTACTTATATTGTTATATTTTGATGTTATTTTGACCCATGTATTTGTTTTCGTATTTGGGCTTTAATATGAAGGTATTGTCGGATAGGATCGACGAATTTTGGGTGGATGACGGCTTTGGCATTCGAGATGATTTTTTGAAAAATTATAATTTAGGGTTTTGAATATTTGGATTGGGGGTTGTTCGTGGTTTTTGGCAAATGTTGGCGTAATATTTTGCGATTTGGGATATTGATTTGTGCTTTATTCGGCATCCGCTATAAAGGTTGTTGCAAATGATAAGGAATTTATAGAAGGTTATCGATGATATTTATAATAGAATTGGGTAGTAGCGAGTGCCGTTGTCGTGATCGGTCATAGAGAATGTGCTCTGTGATTGCATAAAAATTATTGATACGATGAATGGAAGGTAAATTTATGTTTTTTTTGACGGCTAAGAAGGAAAAAAAAGGTCCGTGTCGTGTTAATTTCTTGATCTCTCGATGTCCATTTTTAAGGATCGTATTTTTCGCTTCTGGACACAGCGGGCCGACTCTAATATTAATAATTGAATAATGAATATGATTGTTAAAATAATAAATTTTTATTGAAATATATTGTTTAATCAGTATTGGTCGATATTATATAGATATATATATAATTATTATTAAAGAAAATATTTTGTATTTGTTTAATATTTATATTAATCGGAATATGTCGTATTTTATTATTTTGTTTTTTATGTTTTATTGGTAATGATTTAGATATATATTTGTTGCAATCTATATATATAAGCGCCATTTCTAGTTCAAGTGTTTGCGGCCGCTTTGGGGCGGGGTGCCATGTTTCGTGTGGTCCTGTTTTTGCGATGATGCCTTGGCCTCTTCAATTCTTTGTTGCAATTACTTTATTGTTGACGATCGAAGTGGATTTCCCGGTCCCAATTCCGGGGGACATGAAAGCTGATGCACCACCATTGCAGCCAGTTACCATGTCCGGCTGATGCACCACCATTGCAGCCAGTCACCATGTCCGGCGTGCGGGTTACTCACAGCTCCTCAACTCTGAGCGAGAGTGGAGGCCCCAACGTTGTTTTGCCTCCCTCTTCCACGAAGCTTCATGAGGTATGGGCTTTTGGTGGCTACGGCCAAGTCTCTGCCCGGCCGCGCATCTTGCGCATCAAGCGTGCATACAGACGAGCATATTACAGGGCTATGCGCCAGGGCATGGTTGAATACAGAGGAAGGTGGCTTCTCCCTGCCGATGTTCCGTGGAGGTTCAGAGAATCATTCAGACAGCTCCCGGCTGCTAGGAAGGAGTTGAAGCCAATATCCACTGCACCTGGCCTGCGCTGCATGACCTGGAACGCCTCGAAGGCATTGGT